TATCTCTATACTGCTACTCAATATAAACACCCTACACTCGCCTACCCAATTTAGAAAATTCACCATAGCTGTTACCATGGGGATTTTGATTTCAATTTTAAAACAAGTAAATTTCAGATATAATGTTATTCCAACAAAAATTTAAACTTGAGGATGGAACGGAGCCCATTTTACTTTCAACTCAATTTAATTTAAAGGATTATATTGAAGTTTTCGGCTCTAGTTTTGAAACATGAGACCTCTTATGTAGCGATTTGGAATCATATTTTTAAATAAATAATTATATTTATGCTCTACTTTTGTATCGAGCACTATTTTTTTTTTAAAAATAATAACTAAAATACTAAGGGACTTTGGATTATTTACCTAACCAGTTCCTTCCTATTTTCTATATATTTTCACATATATATATATATATATATATATATATATATATATATATATATAGGATTAATACAAATATAAAATTTGTCGCTTAGATAATTGATGTTATATTTAGCACCCGGAGTTTAATAAATGAAACTTTAAATGTACATTTTAAAAATATTTTTTTAATATATAGATATAGTAGGTCGGTGGAAGAAAAAAATCAAGAGATAAAAAAAATAATATTTGTTGTCCATTATTAAGCCTTTAGACGAAAGAGAAGCATGATGAGAAAAGATGTTATAAATAAGAATTTTCAGACACACTACGGTCCTTTCACAATCAGAAATAAAATAAGGTTGCCACATCTAAGGTTGTAGAGGTTTTGTAGATGGCTTTTTGTGGAAACTATTCATTGAGAATGCCTAAATTCCTATTTAAACTTAAAATGTGTGAATTTATTTTAAAAATGTATTTTGACATGCACTTTCGTTGTTCTTGTTGGCTTTTAAATTAAATAGCTAAAAGAATGCATCTAATGTTATCAAATGCTATGGACTGGCTCGGTGAGATGTGCAGCTACAATGAAATTGTTTAGTATCATTTATTTGTATATTAAAATGGATCTTTTTAAATCTTCAGGTGCTGCCTACAACAATTATATATTATAAATAAACTGACTTAAAATATGGTTTTTCCATTACACAGTTCTAACCATGTTTCAAAAATGGAAGGTCCGAATTTAATTTTGTAATTAAATTAAAGACATTAGTTCCATTTTCATCCTCAAGTAAAAAATAGTGCTCAATGTAAATTACATTGAGCACTATGTTTCATGGAACTAATGTCTTTAATTTAATTACAAAATTAAATTCGGACCTTCCATTTTAAAACATGGTTAGAACTGTGTAGCGGAAAAACCATATTTTGAATCAATTTATTTATAATATTAATGCTCTGTAAATTTACATTGAGCACTATTTTGTAAAAATAAAAATATCTATAAGAACACCGGATTATATATCTTACTGTTCTTTCTTTTTATTTATATATACATATATATATGTGTGTGTGTGTGTGTGCGTGTGTGTGTACATACACACACACATTATATATATACACACATATATATATATATATATATATATATGTACATTACACACACACATATATATTTATATATATAATTGTTGTAGGCGGATTTATCGAATTTAAGGGACACATTCTCCCCCCCAAATAGTGGTTTTACTGTATCCTGCACCTTCCCCACTCAATCCAAATTTTTAAATCATTGATCAAATTCTTTTTAGTAGATTAATTTGCAAGCAGAAGATTTAAATTACTTTAAAGGACAATGGCAGAATCCTTTACTACTACTACTACAGTATAATTAGTTGCTATTATATTTAATTATACTTTAATCACAAGCGATATCAGATCATTGGCTTCTCTGTGGATTTAGGAAAATTTCAGTAGTTATCTCCCTTTTTGTTTTATTATTACTTTTCCTTCATTTTTTGGAAGGATAAAAAAAGAAAAACAAAGTCAAGAAAATGAAGAAAAATGTACTAAACAAATAAAAATTGTGAAAGTACACGAAAAAACCCTATATAATACAAAATAATAAAAAATTCATATTCACAGTGTCTTTGAAACTGCAAACAAGAAGCCCAACAGATTGCAAAAAGACTAGTTTAAAGACAACAAAGATGAAATATTTTGGATGCTAATTAGATCAAAGTAAAATTTATATTTTAACCTGTAAGTCTCCAACCTTCATCATGTACTCTTAGATACCAAATAAACAACTCCCCTCAAATGTATCAGGACCCTGATTGCAACATTTATTCATTTTTGACAATGTACAGTCATCCTACTCAATATATTACTGGAAAATTTTATTTTGAAATGTAATGCAGTGGAAAACAATTACCCTGAAAAACGTTTAGTGAAATATCTTGTGTTCGAGTCATTTAAACTATAAAGTCTATAAACATTCAAAATGAACCAAGAGCAATTGTAATATATTATTTGGGGACACTGTTGGATATACACTACAGGTAAAAAGTTTAGGACCACCCTGCATTTTTTTAAAAAAAAAAACACCTTAAAATAAGATATGTTTGTATTTTTTAAAAAAGTAAAAGATAAAATTTCAATAACTACAGTGAATTTACTTTCTCTAGGTTCCTCTTAGTACCAAAATTTCAAATTTTGATTTGTCTGAAAATTTTGCTAAATTATGAATATTTTGTATGAGAAACTATATTTTGTTTTTCACTATTAACCCCTCAGTAGACTTTTTGAGGTTGCCAAAATGGCTGGAGATTTGATTCAGGTCAAGGGAATCATGAAAAATGCAGGTTGGCTCCAAAATTTTTGTCTGTAGTGTATATTACTTATTTGTTAACCCTTGATGGACATTTATTTAGATTGTAATGTTGATGGACGTCATGGAAATACTTTCAATTTTGAAAGAGTTGAGATACCCCTTCTTGCCTGAAGCAAATATTTGACTTTACTTAAAAAATTCATGGGCATTTTCTTGATACAGCTTGAAAGATTTCTTTTTAATCGTTTCCCCATCATTTATTAACCACTCCTGTTTATTTCATTTTCTGATTTTTTCTAAAACCATGTTAGATTACTTCCCCCCTGACAATAATCACAGGCATCACAAGATTTGAAAGCCTCTTCCTCTTTTCCCTTTTACTTTCAAAGCAACAAGACACGTCCCTTTTGGTTCCAATTGACCCGATGCATGTAATTATGTTTTCCAGCTCCACTGTTTATTAACTACCCCTATTTAATTTATTTCATTTTCCAATTTTTTTCTAAAACCATGTTGGATTGTCAACCCCTGACAATAATCACAGGTGGTGCGAGATTCAAAAACTTCCTTTTTTACTTTTTGCTAGCAAAGCAAAAGAGATGTTTCTTCTCACTTCGATAGACACGAGGCATGTAAGTACTTCAAAGATACACTTACTGAAGGTTGCTTTGAACTATTCATTATTGCAATTTCATTTCTAATATTATCCTTCTGTAACATGTTTGGTTAAATCATTTATTAATAGTTATTTGTTTGAATTCCATGCTTTCTCTTTGTTTTTACCCAGACTCACATGGGTAACCAAAATACTGATGTGAATTACAACTCCCCCTTCTATTTGGCACCCAACAGTAAGAATGTAGAGTTTAACATAACATAAAACTACTGTACACTACTTACATTATTCAGACTATTGTCCTCATCTTTGTTGCCATATTTATTACAACGTTTCAGCCGTTGTATGCTCCGGCCTTCTTCAGGTGGTTGGAATGTCGAACTGAATCCTTTATTTCACTCACTGGGGTAGACTGTTCTAGTTCCACGTGGCATGTTTAATGGATGTCAGTTATCAGTTATCTCCTGTTAATTCCCCTCTCCAAGCTCTCCACTGCCTTAATTGGGTATTGAACTCACACTCTTTTGGATAAAGACATTAGTTAGATCCAGTGACAAGACCCAAAGAGTGTGAGTTCAATACCCGGTTAAGGCAGTGGAGAACTTGGAGAGGGGAATTAACAGGAGATAACTGATAACTGAGATCCATTAAACATGGCACGTAGAACTAGAACAGTCTACCCCAGTGAGTGAAATAAAGGGTTCAGTTCAACATTCCAACCACCTGAAGATGACCAAAGCATACAACGGCCAAAACATTGTAATAAATATGGCGACAAAGAGAAGGACAATAGTCCGAATAATGTAAATAGTGTACTTAATACCTCATCTCAGAAATATAGACAGATAAAACTACTGCACCTGCTGAAGGTTGGAGATTTTAATGGTACAACTTACTGTATTTGCCGACATCAAGGACACGTTTTTTTTCCTGAAATAAGTTTTAAAAATTTGTATAATATACAGAAATTCAATTTACCGTCTGACACAGATAACCTTTCTCTGGGGTTAACATAGACCTACAAAAGCCCTAAACTTCACACAACAAATTTTTGAGCATTATTTCAGGAAAAAAACTATCTTTAACATCAACAACTACAGTAACTCTGAGGAGACAGTGTTGTAATGGAATAACCTGTCACCCCCATGAGTAACTACACTATAGATAGTAACTACCTATAAGTATCTGTAATACAACGGACTACAGAGACTAGCTGGGATCTGTTGAGTACGACTCAGATTTATGCGAGAACTACCGACTTTCCAATAGTAGCACTCACTACTGGATTGACTTGCGACGACCTTATGTATAACTGTTACCTTTATTCTTATTGTACTGGTTTTACAATAGACTTTTACTTCTTTTATCCACTTTGTTTTTCAAGTATATATTCCTATAAAGCAGGGAAATATAACACTTAGACAATCTCTTGAGGTAAGCTACAACATCCAAAAATCAAATAAAATTAAATTTTAACAAAGATCAATCTATTAACCCAAATCAATCACCAAGATGCAACAAAGCTTCTAGTTAGCAAACATGAGACCATCTTAAGATGTAGAAGCATTTTATCTAAGGAATACATGCACATTAGAGGTCATAATATTGAGCTGTCAGTGTGCGAATGTCAATCAGTGTATTTCTAGTCACACAAATACAATAAATACTGTTAGACTGAAATCCATTCTATACTGTATAGAACTGAGTAGCCGCAGAAGATTGGACTTCAATTTGTCCGAGTTTAAATTGGATCCGTTTCAGCCAACTCAAAAGAATCGAAGCTGTGAAAGAAGCTTGGTCTTTGGTCTGGATTGGAGGTTCCCAGTTCTGGCAGGCTTGAAGACGGACCTGTAAGTGAGCTGGGAGCTGGAAAATAAATTTGAAACAAAGTATATTGACCAAAACTTATAACAAAACAGGCTCAGGACATTAATGATATCCTAGAGAAAGCAAGTTGATTAGTAACTGTTTATAAATTCATGAATAAAAAATTTTCCACATTTCTATAAATTGTTAAATAATAAATATTGCACTGCATTAGTTCTAATTGTATTAGTTTTTAGAATGTTGTAAATGGAAAATTATTGTTGTACATTATCAATATAATAAATAAATAATGTTTAATATTTTTGTTGTAAATTCTCAAGAACAAAAAATGTATAAATTTAGTTTCATCATATGTTTAGGTTTTATTCTAATTCTAATCATCGTTTTTAAAATAATAAACATTGCCAAAGAGTGAAGATAGTTAAAATAAAAAAGGTGTCATTAGGAAAAAAAAAAACATCCTTTTAACACTCCATCTAATTGTGGGCACTAAGGTCCATGTTTGCCAAGGAAAGCCCATCAGAATAATTACCAATAGAAATGTTATCAGAAAGCCAGAAACTTATTCATTCGTGTATTGATTATGTAAACCTGGTGGAGCCCATCTGTCTCCAGATCAAACCACCTAAAGACTTGCTTTGGTCATGCATACATGGCTGTTGATTCCATCAAGATGAACCCTTTACCCTGACCATTGACTTCAGTCTTAGGAAGCTATCCACCCATTGATAATGTGTCATAACTACAATGGCTGCATACTTAGCTAGCTATAGAGCCATATATTAACTTTAACTTAAAAAAGATACTTACTTGTGAATGATAAGCAAAGAGGATTGCTGTCCACATAGGGAATAACTGAAATATATAAAATGAAGCAAAAATTATTTACTAGCCAAATCTCCGTCTTACTAACATTTCTCTTAATAATAATTTAAAAAATAATTCAGCAGACAATGTTATTTCATTTATGGTAACTGGATTTTTGGTGATTTCCTTACTCAGTTTCCGGCGTTCAATACTGTACATCAGAAAAATGACACTTAATTTGAGTTGCCATCACTTCTCGCCCTTTTGGCTAAGATCAAAGTGTGGTAACTGTTTTTATCAGCTTAATCTGATTCGCTATCTTCCCTTCTTTCTTTCATTTTCTTACTGAAAGCAAGTAGCATCTTTTCCCTTCTTCCCACACAATCAAAAGAGAATAGTCTATTATTTATGAGGTACGGGCAGGGCATAATGGTTGTGCAAACTAATAAAGGGAGCGACAAGTACAATTATAATAGGCTAATCATCAAGGGTAGAGGCAATCCTACACTATATACTACTCAGTTTATACATATAGTTTAAAACTCTACAAATGCTTTGGTAGAGGACTCTTCAGGAGAAACAAAATTACAGTTATATATATATATATATATATATATATATCCAAATGCAAAAGAACGAAGAGTAAAATTTCCATGTTCAAAACATTAATTTAAAACAGGGCTCAATAAATATGTATTTATTATGCACCATTATTTTAGAACACATACATACCCACTACAAAACTGTACATCTTGTTTCAACGTTAAAAATTAACATTTCTTCAGGTGGGAAATCACGATGCTACTAAAATATTTTATTCCAAAATCTTGTTAACGGAGCACATCTTCCACTTCTGTCTTTGAAAAATTTCCCATAAAACTTTAAAAGGATTTACATATGGAGAAAGAAAGCTAAGTGCTTAATAACAACGAAAAAGGAAAGAGAAATAAGAGGAAAAAGGCTAAGAAAAGGAAATGTTGAGGCAAGTATTCAACATTCTTCTATTTGTAAGGAGAAGAAGAAAGTTGAGGATGAAAGAGATAGGAAAATGTCTACAATCAATGCATCTGATATATGTTTTTTGCACTAGTCGGATATGTGTGGAACTAATTAGATGTAGTTGTCAGAAAACCAACACAATGATTTGTTTCAAGTGGTGAAGGCTTGTGTCCGACCATCCACACTTTTTGGATCTGTCGATAAAAAGGTAACAGTGCAAAAGACTTACCACGGAAACTCCGAACGACAGTCCTTGTGTGTTATCGTGGAGTTTAACTTCTACGGTCAATACCAGCCAGTAAACGCCTCTTGGCAGACACATGCAATATAATGACCGAGTTAAGCTGTCATGAGTTTTCCTTCCCATCTGAAGTCTTTTTATTGTGAAACCAACACTAAAAGGATTGCTAACCAAAACTCAGAGAGATTCCTTTCACCCTCATCAAGGGCAGCTAGCCTGTGCCAGTTCTCAACCTGGTACTTTGCATAGCTCCGTGGGATATATATATATATATATATATATATACATATACATATATATATATATATATATATATATATATAGAGAGAGAGAGAGACACACACATACACACAATGTAAATTTCAGATTTTAAAACTTTTAAGTTACTTTATCTTCCAATAATGTTATCAGTAGTTACTTTTTACCTAAAAAATACAAACAGAATTGTAATTGATATTTGTGCAAGAAGCTTACCATCATGGCATCATTGACAAATTCACAAAAAGAACTGATTGTTAAGCTCTGGAAAGTAGGTAAAAGTTACAAGAAAATCTCAGACAACCTGAATATTCCATTTACTCCCATTAGTTCATTCATTGCAAGGTATAAAAACTCAAAACTGTTGAAAACCAAAAAAGAACAGGCACTCCACGGAAGATTTCTGCAAGATCTTTGAGGAAATTAATGCGTCAAATTAAACAAAATCCAATGGTTACTCATTAAGAGTTGCAGGATGATTTGCTTTCATCAGGAATCTGTGTCACTAAATGGACAATAAGCAATGAAATTTATAGGAATAATCTAAAGTCACGCTCCTCTTGGGAAAGTCCACTGTTATTGAAAAGACAGAGATGCCAGGTTGAAATTCATTTGTGAACATAAGGAAAAATCATATTGGGAAAGAGTATTATAGACAGATGAAACAAAAACTGAGTTGTTTAGATGTAATTCTAAAAATCATGTATGGAGAAAAGATGGGGGCACCTTCAGGCAGTGTAATGGTTAGCAAGCTTGTCTCACTAGAACAATTATGACTGAGTAGTGAGGATGATCCTCACTAGGTGCCCCCTACTTTCAGCCTTGTGCCACATCAAAGCTACGCTTGGAAAATCACTGCATGGAGGAAAGATGGCAATGCCTTCAAACAAAAGAACACAGTTCCAACAGTGATATTTGGTGGTGGCAGGATCATGGTTTGGGGATGTTTTTCTATAAAACATATCGGTAATAGATGGTAGAATGAATGCTGCAGCATATCAAAATATTTTGGAAGCAAATTTAACGATTTTGGTTGAAAATTTTGAACTTCCTCTTGATTGGATCTTCCAACAAGATAATGATCCTAAGCACACTGCAAAATCTATGAAGAAATGGCTTGCTGAAAATGATGTAAATATCCCGAAACGACCAAGTCACTTCACAGATTTAAACCCAATCGAGAATCTGTGGCAAAATTCAAATCCAATTGAGAGCTCCAACAAACATCCTGGATCTGAAGACCATATGTGAAGAAGAATGGAACTTTAAAATACCAACTAAAATTTGCAAATCATTAATTGAGAACGACAAGAAGAGGTTGGTTGCTGTAGAAGTGAATGATGGCTGTTCTGAAAAGTATTAAATGGACATTATGTATTCTTTTTCATTTTGTACGAATACTTTTTTCACCCATTAAAATGGATAAATGTGATTTATTTCTATTAAATCAATTTTTTTTCTGTTTTCTATGCATATTTAGTTATTATGCATCTGTGTATCATTAATTATATGAAAAGTATGTTTATTCATTAATTGGAGATATAATTAAAAATTTGTATGTATACTAATATTTGTTTCTCCCCATTGTGTGTGTGTATATATATATATATATATATATATATATGTAATATCACACATTGAGTGCTGGTGTTAATAAAATAGGGCTTCATGTAGAGTAACAGAGTTATAAATTATATATTATTGATAAATAAAGGCAGAAGAGTGCATTGTGCATGAAACTCACTCATGCTACTGGTGAGGAAAAAAATGTATATTTATTAATAATGTATAATTTATAGCTCTGTTATTTTACATCATGCCCTATTTTATTAACACTAGCACTCAATGTGCAATATTATATATTTACACACACACACACATATATATATATATATATATATATATATATATATATATACACACACACACACACATATATATATATATATATATACATATAGGCACACACACACATATATATATATATATACATAGGCACACACACACACACATATATATATATATATATATATATATACACACACACACACACACACACACACACACAAACTATATGTTAAAAAAGTTTGTGTTCACTGAATTGACTAAAAATTGAAGGTTGTGTACCTTTTTCAATACCAATTTCTTAGCTCACTTTGGACCAGAGGGACTTTCTCTTTATCATATACTAGCAGCATGGCCCAGCTTTGCCCGTGCTTGATTCAAAAATTGTATGACTCATACAGCAATTGCTATCACTTAAATATTTTTGCCCTTCCTTGCCTTTAAAGGAGTGCCCTTAGCCGTGCTGATGTTTCTACATGCCTTACTTCTTGCCTATCTCACACTGCAAATTTTTTCTAAGCTCTATACTAAACATTAAATCTGTTACGATAAAAGAACTAAACAAAATGAACACAAAACGATCAGCTTTAAAAAAGGACTCGTAACTGGAAAAACTGAATGAAAAAAGAATGTTAACAACAAATACTTTTTCACACCCAACCCAGTTCTGCGGAATCAGAATGAATGTTGAGTTTAAGCAAGTGGATGAGCCAATTGGAGTAAAGTGCCATGCAGATTTAAATTTTTCCCACTTGTGATGAATGCAGCTATCGATTTTTTTTGCATGCTAATTAACATTCGTGTTAGTCAGCTGTTGGCTCTCACGCTGGTCAATAGAATCTTCCTGTCTATTCGTGGCAGCCAGCTATAGGCTCTCACTCTGGCCAGTAGAAAATGGCCACAAACTACATGAAAACTGCTGTAGAAGCATGAAAAAATCAATTATTTCCACTATCGATGGGAGTTGGGAAATGCAAAGTCAGTCTTGGCCTTCCCGCTAACTTGGAGCATGTGCATGTAAATTTGGGTGCAAATCCGTAAAAAATTGCGGCCATGCATTCATTACACGCACACACATCCTGCCTTTTATAGATAGAGATTCAATAATAATAACAACAAAATTACCCATTACTGCATAAAGTTTCCTTATGATTTTAGCTCTTTTTGCCTGATCTATCTTACTAGCCGATGGTAATCTTAGGGCTGACAGGTTTTAAATTTTAAATAACATCCTCTCTAAAAAAATTGGATGACACACACTAATGAATGAAATGGTCTTAGAATCACTTTTGTTTTTGCTTTTGTGTCTGTGCTCATTTGGTAAAAGCCTCCCAGTTTTGATGAGAAGAATTTTTTTTTAAGAAATTAGGCATAATATAATTTTAAATAAAAATTTTGTATAACAGTGGCATCATCCCAAACTAATGTTCTATTGTCTTCAGGCTGACATTAATTTCAATCCTGCCAAAGACCAAACAACAGTCTATGCTATGGCAACAATTAGGTTCTTCATGACCAAAGAAATTCAAGATTCAAAAATCAGCAGGGTCATGTCCTTGGTTGTTTATTTTTGGTAGGAGGAGATGATATTGATAAATAATACAGGGGTCATAAAAAATTATATTCTGGCTGGGTTATAAAAACTAGATATAAGAACATATTTTGCATCATTTCGATAAGAGATATTAAAAAAAAATTGACCAAAAAAAAACAAACTTACTTTTGCCAAAACTGAAGAGTTGCATTCCTGCAATGCTTCCATTAGTCGCAGGAAGTGTAAATTTACCATTTCTGCAAGCTGAAAAACAACAGAAAAAAATTTCTAAGAATCTCAAATACTCGTTTTCCCTGCCATTAAAAAAAAAAGAACACAAAATAATCATACTGTGTTGCCCTCAACATCCACACAAGTATCCAAAGTAGTTATTCCCCACCAAGAAAACATGAAACAAAAAAATAAAGATAAAAATTGAAAAATCCCAAATACTCAATTGTTTTCTACCCACTCCAAAAAAACGAAAACATTAAAAAAAATAAGAAACTCAAATAGCTATTTTCAAATGTAAAAAAAAAAAAAGTTATTCATTTTGTCAGAAAATAAGCATAAAAAGTATACAAATTATTCAATTTTTCCCTTGCAAAAAAACAGTTAAAAAATGAGAATTTCAAAGTCATTTTCTACCCAAAATAAATGTAAGAAAAAAGAATTAAAAAATTACACATTTTGTCACAAAAAAACCCATAAAAAGTATATAAAATACTGTTTTTAACCAAAAAAAGATACAAAAAAAACAAAATAAAAACTCCTCATTTTACACTTTAAAACATAAAAGAAAAAAATACAGAATACTCATTTCCTCTTTAAAAAATGCAAGAATCCCAAATCTCATTTTCCTCCTTTTCATCCTGCTTTGAACATTGTGGCCTGGCACTACAGAACCACAATGCACTGTACCAAATAACATAATAGATAATAATGGTTTAGTGCTACAAGTCTTACTAATTAATCCACACCTGGAGAAGAAGAGGTGAATTCATAGCTTTCCCAAGGATATTTGCATGTAACGAACACAATTACACTAACCACATACCCAAGCTTACAGCACCTGCTATTCCTAAGTGCTTACCTATCTAGGTTCTGACTAGGCTTAATGTTGCTTAACTTCAGTGATCATATGCCATAAGCCACCCAATCAGTGATAGTATAGAGTGGAATGTATATGTCATTCAACCAGTGACACAGTAGAATATGGGGTGGTGTATGTCATTCAACCGGTGACACTGTAGCGTATGGGGTGGTGTATGTCATTCAACTGTTGACACTGTAGAGTATGGGGTGGTGTATGTCATTCAACCAGTAATACTGTAGAGTATGGGGTAGTGTATGTCATTCTGTGACACCCACTAGTGGTCACGGTCGCAGTGCCAATATGGGATGTCCTCTGGTCGCGATGCCAATATATGACACTGCGCTGTTGGCCTGTGGTCAACTCCCAGTTGCGGCACGAAGCTGTAAGGTTTCTTCCACCAGTATTTTGGGGTTGACTCTTTGTCACTGCCACCAGCCTGTGTCCCAGTCGATCAGGTTGTTCCTGGTTCGATACCAGCTTTGTTGTTCCCAGCTCACTTCCAACGTCTGGTTACCAAAGTAACTACTTTGATCTCAAGTCTAACCTATCCACGTTGTGACGTTGATCTTAGGTAGACGAAATCAATCAGGCATCGAGCCGTAGTGCAAGCTGAATCCGGGGTAAAGGTGATATTGCACAAGCGTAAGTAAAAGAAGCAATAAAACAAACTCAAGAGGTTCAAATATGTTGAGAAATAACAAATTATCTTTATCCATCTGTTGAACACAGGAGTGTGTTTCTCTCCCAGCCCGTTTCTATGGATTCGTGACACTTGCGTTTCTTAAGCAAGTTTTGGTATCTTAAGTCGTTTGTCAGTATAACTTGCTTTTAGTTGGAAGGCTAAGTCGGAAGGGCGTGGAATTTCTCAGTCAGCTTCTGTGAGGCAACAGCCTGACTGCAACTGCGAATCAACTGCTGGAACTCCTGGAACTAACTAACCCATCAGCTGCCTCGAGACATTTGTTTATATGGATACCGACCAAAACCAGGTGTGGGGGCCTGACATGGTTTGGGTTTCCGATAATTCTCAATTCCCAGCAAGAATTCTCTTTGTTCTTAGGCCAGGAAAATTATTTACTTCCCATTTTTGGAAGATTAATCACTTTCCATTTCGGGGGTTTCTCCCTCATCTGTGAGGGAAGGTCGGAGGAGAGTTACCCTCCTAAACTCTTCCTCTCTCACATTGGTATCTCATACCAATCCCCTCAGTGGGTGTTAACAACTTCTCCGTCTTTCTCATACATTCACCTCTGGCTATCACCCATGCTACCAGTTGGCCAATGATCTCTCGACAGTGTGGGTGTGGCTAGACTGGCCCCCTTAGAATTACTATCCAGAATTTTGTTTACAAAATCCTTTTTTTTTCTTTTTCCTTTTCCTTCGGCCAAGACATTTACAAGTCCCAGATTGCTGAATAATTCTTATCACATTTTTTGGGGGACACCCAAATCCACTTAGCCTGGACCTTTACTGACTCATTAATCACTGTCAAATCCCAATACCTGGGTCCTCCGCTAGTCAACTTTTAACTGGGTGGTTGTGTTTACCTGATAATTAAATTCTTTATTTTTTTCATGCCTTAAAATTTTTTATCACCAGATGCTCATTTTCGAGACACTATGTCTGACATCAACAGTTTGAATAAGCAATAATAATGATTCCCTTTTCGATTTTCATTCTCATGTCAAGATTCGTGCATATACCAGATGGCTTCCTTTGCTGGAACCAGAAATTAAAGTTAAATGGTATCTCTGAAAGATAATTAATATCTATTCTCCAGGGTGGTCTCAGGCCGAAATTCTTTTTATGGTCACATGTGTTGGTTGGCTTTGTTTTTCTTTCAGAATTCTGTTTCATTTGGCACGTCACTCCCTTATCGTGACATTAATAAATTTTGACAGAATCACAGTCTCGCTTTTTCTTACAGATTTTCTGTCTTTTGCGAAAAGTATCTTTCTTTTGTAAATAAAATAAATTCTTCTTTTTAATGTCGCTCAGTCTATGTTTCAATATAGCTCTTTTTCGCCTTAAGTCTTTCCTGTTTTTAATTTATATGATTAATTAGTTACCCAATTACCATAGCTAAATAGTGTCACAATTCAACCGGTGACATTGTAGAGTATAGGGTCGTGTATGTCATTCAACTGGTGACACTGTAGAGTATGGGGTGGTGTATGTCATTCAACTGGTGACATTGTAGGTATATTTTTTTTTTTACTTGTGTTCAATCAATACAAGGCTCAAAAGCCACTCAATGTAGAGACTTATTGAATGACGTGTGTGTTGTGAAGGTAAGAGTAAGAAGCAAGTATTTTGTGGATATGGACAATGGTAACAATTGAACTAGAACTTGAAGTGGGTAAGATTGTAGAATTCAGGGAAATATTCATGCAGGAGTCTGTTCTTAATAAAAAAGAAGTGTGGTATTTCCTCCTTACAATTGAAATACATAAGGAGTAAGGATGATTATGCAAAAAATAATATATTTACCACTTTTGCCCGTGAGGGGAGCTGTAAAACACCAGGGGTGACCCAGGCTCAAAAGTCTATAACATTGTCCTTCTCCTAGATGGTTTACCAACCACACTTGGAAATCTCAGTCTGTGCTGCTATTTAACCCATAGCTGGGGTTATTTGTGTGACAGTTAATTTTTTAAACTTATTTAACCTATATTCAAAATGCTACAATAATAAAAGATTACTAAATAATATACTTACCACTTTTGCATGCGAGAGCAGCTGTAAAACACCAGGGGTGACCCGGGCCCAAAAGTCTATAACATTGTCTGAGGCTGTTTGGTGGTAATCACTATTTGGGGGATAGTGAGCAGCTGCTGATTCACAGTACATTGTCCATAACTTTGTACAGAAACCGAAAATAGAAAGAATGTTCAGAAATTGACATTATAAAATAGAAACAAGATAAAAAATTAAATAATATATATACAGTGTAACACGGATATAAGAGACCCGGATAGAAGAGAGATTTTCCCTGGTCCCAAATTAGAGCTTGTGTTAATGTATATAAAATAGACCAAACCTGGATATAAGAGAGATTTTCTCTGGTCCCAAATTAGAGCCTGTGTTAATGTATATAAAATAGACCAAACCCGGATATAAGAGAGATTTTCTCTGGTCCCAAATTAGAGCCTGTGTTAATGTATATAAATTAGACCAAACCCAGATATAAAAGAAACCCGAATATAAGAGACTTCTTCTCCGGTCCCGACAACTCTCTTATATCCGGGTTACATTGTATAAGATTTATGAATATGAACATGTACAGAATTGGAGTAAAAAACAAATTGAAAAAGACTGGAACAAATTGAAAAAAAAATTGGAAATACTGCTTAAAACCAGAACCCTTGAAAACTGGAAATTTTACCAAAAAACTTTGAAGTCGGGATAAAATTAATGTTTAAAAGTTCAGTAATCTTTTTATATAATTACGTGTGTGTAAAAAAAATAAAAATAATGGAAGCACTAATAACAAAAAGGAAAAGCCAACACTCAATAACATCAACTATGAACATGGCCACAATGTGCTGTGTTTGTAAAAAAAAAAAAATTCCTATATCTCTAGATACATGCATAAGAAATCCATACATTCAGTTAAAAAAATAAGAATAAAAATCATTCTAAAAAATAGCCGAAAGCACTTGGATATGCAGAAGGTTTGGACAATTTTTACATATTTTATATCCATAAAACAAAACAGTTATATGGACACAAGAAAAATAAAAAGTTTAATCACAGTATTTTGTCAGTGATCTTTAATAAAACTTGTATAAAAGAATGCCCAAATACACAATTGTAAATGCTGCTTGCGTAGTATGTTGAAGAGATTAATATGGCTGCATGTTGAAGAGCATTTAACATTTATACATTATTAAATCAAGGAAAAACAATGAGAAAACGATTTTTGTTTCAATGATAAAATATATATTAAAATCAACAAATACAAAACAATTTTGTAATGTGTGAATATTAAGGAAAAGAAATGTAGTTTCCCTTCATCAGTATTTATTATTTAACCAATCACAGTTGAGAAAACTGTAGGCGTGGCAAATGTAGTAGTAGTCACTAAACAATTATATATATAGGGTGTATCAAAAATACTTTTACAAACTTTGGGGTCGGGTTCCTCACACCAAAAAAAGGAGAAAAGTTCATATACAAATATGTCTGCAAATCCTTTCTCAAGAGTATTTACACATAAGTGAATATAAAAAACCATAATGGAATTGGAACTTGGCTTTCTGATTAACAATTGCAAGCCATTATCCATTACATATCCAAGTTTATAACACCTGGTATTCCTTTTTTACTTTTTCATATTCCTGATCTAGAGTGCATAATCTATTGTAATATGAAAAAAATTATTTCTTGTCAGAAAGATTCTGCAAGTTCATCCAAATATCTAAATATTGTCTTTGAAGGCTTATGGCCACATCACATTGAAACATTGGTTCCCATATGATCACCAAAGTTAAGCAATGTTGAAACTGGTCAGTACTTAGATGGGTGACCACTTGGGAATACTAGGTGCTGTAAGCTTGGATGTGCAGGTGGTGTGATGAATAATGGCTCAGAATTGTTAATCAGAAAGCTGAGGTCCAGTTTCCATTAGGTTTATTATATTCACTTATACAAAAATAACCTTGGAAAAGGTATGAATCCTCCTCTTCTCTCACATCGCTATCGGTTAATTAGTAAGACTTGTATCATTAAATCATTATTATCTAAAAAAAACATTTTTACAATCTAAAAGTGTCTTCTGGCTTTAAATAACCTGCAAAGAGTTGATAAGGCATAGAAAGAAAAATTGATTGATCAATCGTCTTTGAAATTTATTTTTACCTTTATTCCCCTGTATGTGACTTCATTTGCTGTGCAAAAAGTTTAGCCTGCCACTGAAGGTGACTGATCCCTGAACAATAGTGTGTTTGAATTTCATAGTTGTGTTGTCATATCCTTCTATGGCAACAGAAAACAACTTTAAGTGAAATTAACAATAAGGCTACTGCAATTGAGATACCTTGAAAAAGAATGTAGTGGAAAGGGAAATAATAATAATGCAGAGTACTAAAGATTAAAAAATGCTACAAACTTTTGTTCTGACCTAATATTGATTTTTATACTAACATTCCTAGTCAATAGACCTTTTGTGCTTTTTCATCATGGCACTCTGCATTACTATGGTGAATTTATTTTTATATAGTTTTAATATAAAGAATTATATTATAAAACTAAATTTTTTTTAATCATTTCACATCAAAGCAAGGTAATAAAGCCACTAAGATGCAAGGGACACTTGGAGAAATGTTATTCTCCATAAAGCAAGAAGAAAGAAAAATGACTCTCACCTGACACAGGATAAAAGCATGAAACAATGATGACATATGCAATACTGAAGTCTGCAGGAAAAGAAAACAAAAATAAAATAATTTTTGTATTATTATAAAATGTTTTTTGTTTCATTCTGTCTATTCAATAGACAAAAGGGCAAACATGAACCTTCATGTCTGCAAAAATATGTAGTGTCAAAAGAACAGTATTTCCCATGACATCATTTCTATTTTTAACTACCTTCACATCCTGGTAAAGTTAATTGTTTTAAAAAAAGTGATGATTATAATTGTAATAAAACCTAAACAAATGAAAGTGATCTGTTGATATTTCTGAGATGAGGTATTATGTACATTATTTACATTATTCGAACTACTGTCCTATCTTTGTCACCATATTTATCACAACGTTTTGACTGTTGTACGCTCCAGCCTTCTTCAGGTGGTTGGAATGTTAAAATAAAGGGTTCAGTTCAACATTCCAAGAAGAAACCAGAAGAAGGCCGGAGCGTACAACGGCAGAAACGTTGTGATAAATATGGTGACAAAGATGAGGACAATAGTCCGAATAATGTAAATGAAAGTGAATTTATATATTTTCTTGAGAATTAACAACAAAAATAATAAACACTATTATATATTTACACTATTTATTGGATTTATTGATTGCTTGGCAAAACATTGGTTAATTACCAATCAATTTGAATTTTATAAAAATGCTAAGTAATAAGGATTTCCTTACAGTTGGTTCACATATTTTAATAATTTAGTATCAGTATAAATTTATGAATAAAATATTGTTTTCATATTTATTTCTTTATAAATTGGTGAAAAATTCTTGTAAATAAACAATAAACTAAATAGTGTTTAATATTTTTGTTGTAAATTCTCAAAAATAAAAAAATATATACATTCACTTTTATCATATGTTTAGGTTTTATTGCAATTCAATAATTGCTTTTTAAAACAATAAACATTGGTGATGAGTGAAGGTAGTTAAAATAAAAATGGTGTTAATGGAAAAACTGTCCTTTTGTCACTCAAATTTATTGTGGGCACTAAGGTCCATATCTGCCATAAATTCTTCACTATTAAACCAATTCATATTATTTTGAAGTTCAACATATTCCTTTGGGTTAAACTAAATTCACTAAACAGAAAATGGCTGCTTTTATATTACAATAATTCCTCATGTATAATACAGCTACATCCATAATATGCACACCTAAAATTGTGCTGAAAGTGTGGGAAAATGCTTCTACTCATGTATAATACGCACCCCTTGTTTGGTAATCAAACCTTATAAATTGTACCTCTCCAATTTCATTACGGCCAACGTTTCCTACTCCTATTTAAAAAAAAAATGGTTTCAAACATAGAATAATATTATTCTAATTTAGTTTTATCATAATTCTTATTTTATTTTATGGCAATTTTTTTTAAAGATTTTTTGTAGCTGTGCATAATACGCACCCCTGATTTTGCTTATTATTTTTTTAGAAAAAAATGTGTATTATACATGGGGAATTATGGTAATTATCTTCAAAGCCATATATATATATGCACACACACACACGTACACACACACACACATATATATATATATATATGCATGCACACACATATATATATTTTAATCAATTCACCTCATTCAAGTTAATAATGCCACTATGATGCATCATGAATCCCATAACCTCTTAGAATCATAGGGGCACCACATCTACTGCAGCCATATCAGCAGTGGTGTTTTATACAATGATATTCACCTTGTACAAGGCCCAAGAGCCACTCGAAGTAGAGGGTTACAGAATAAAATGCATACCCCAAGCAAAGTGATAATATCACCATGACGCAAGAAGCCACTGGAAGCGAAAGAGAAGGGACAGATGTTAGAAAGAACTGGAAACCTGATCCTAAACTGGAAACATGGTACAAACCTCTACTCCTGTTCAAAAGATTGGGAAGGAGTGTGAACTGGACGATAAGTGAACCTATCTACTCCTATTGAGGAAAAAAATAAATAGTAAATAAAATTTCAGAGTTTAGATGGAGACATTAGAAGTATAAAGTTGAAGTAAATGTTACAAGGAACTAAATACCCAATCCTAAAGAAGAAACAAGTAATAAACATCAACTCCTGTTCAAAAGACTGGGGAGGTGTGGGAACAGGACAATAGGTGAAACTATATTAATCAATAAACTCTAGTTGTAATTCAATATTTACCTTGGAATACTCTGCAAATCCAGTCATGATGACCATGATATGCTCTGCAATATGAGAGCCAGCATCTAATGGAACAGGAAGACAGTAAATAGACTCCGACCCTTCAGTAAGTGCAGTGTGAGTGAGAGAACCAATCAGAATCCAAGAAAGTAGACGAATCTGACTCAGACAATCAATAAATTCTTTTGGACTGAAAAACAAAAAAGCAACACATGAATAAATATTAAAAAAAATTAAACCACATTAAATAAAAAATGACTCTCACCTGACACAGGATAAAAAGCATGAAGCAATGATGACATATCCTGGAGTCAGGATGCTGAAGGTAACATCAATTTGCTAAGTGACAACCTTTTGTATTAATTATATATATATATATATATTATTTATTTTAGGATATTAAAACAAAAACATGTTAAAAATCACTACACAATTACATTGTTTCCACACTACAAATGTGTCTCCTTAAATGTTAGATAGTGGAATTATACTTCATTTGTTCCCATTTTACCTATATATATATATATATATATATAAAGAAATATAGTCTTAAGGTGTGCTATATTTATGGGATAAAGTGCTCAATATTGGAGATAGAGCGTGTGTAAATATAAAAGTGAACATAGAAATCAACAGGCCACCAATTGCAGTCTGTTTCAGACTATATGCAATCGTCAGGCCACCAATTGCATATGACATTTATATATATATATATATATATATATATATATATATATATATATATATATATGCAAAACATGTTTTGTGAAATAATATGGACAAGTTCTGTTTGTCAACTTCTTTTTTATTAAGTCTTACAAATTTCTGAATAAGTTGTTTTGTTTTAGCAATAAATTTGCAAAAATTCATATTAACTTGGAATTTATATTATTTTCTTCCTGAGTACTTTCAAATGTTACTACATTCATTTTAAAGAATTGTTCTGTGTGTAGTTTTTGCAAATGGTTCTTAATTCCAACATTCTCCTGTTTGATGGAACCAATTTCAATTCACTCAAAGTGACGTCATATAAACGTCGGTCAGACTGAAATTTTATGTTTGTCTTTTTCTTTTTATATTAAAAACACTTTGATAAGAAAATTCTTGTTGCTGAAAGACACCTTTTATTTTATATATATATATATATATATATATATATATATATATATATATATATATATATATATGAGGAGGCACAGTGGAGTAATGGATAGCGGCTCGGATTGAGGAATCAGAGAGACGAGTTTGAATTCCAGTTGAATCCATTACATTCACTTATGTGCCAATACCCTTGGGAAAGGTATGAATCCTCTTCTTTTTCCTCCAGCTATGGGTAAATAGCAGGACAGACCAGGTTCTATAGGCTTGGATGGCAACTGGTCTAGGAGAAGGACAACTCTGAATCCAAAACCTGCGAAGGGTCGTTTGGGGACCTTGTGGCACATAGTGCACCAGGTCTCTGTAATCGGCCCTTCAAAAAGTGTGGATGGTCCGGCATGAAACCTTCACCACTATAATCAAATCTCATGTGCTGTTGTCAGGTTGTCGGTTTCCTAGGAACTGATCTGCTTGAACCTCATACATTGAATTCGACGGGAAAGTCAAGTATATATATATATATATATATATATATATATACATGTATATATTTTCTGTTTATATATTATTTTTATAGATACAAATATTTAAGTAAATGCTCTGTTTATAATAAACAGTATTAACAACATTTACTGGCATGAATGTCCAAGAAATTTTCATAGAAAATATGTTTCCTCCAACAGGAATTGAACTTGTATCCTACACAGAACTGTCATATAGCCCTGACACGCTATACCAATAACTACAGAGGAGTCTTGGTTAGCAAGGTCGATTTCACTGTTTTTAAACTAGAATTTTCTATGATTTCCTTCAAACATTTCTGCTCAAAATGTATCCAAACATAAACAAATGAGGTCACACACTACGAAATGGACAAAGTTCAATAATTATTTTATATATATGTGTGTGCGTGTTTAGGCAGCAAATGTTCTTTAAGGCAAATATTATTGAAGACAGACATTTTGTGTTGGCAAATTTTAATGATTGAGTTTCCAAGTTATGAATAATTCTTTTCCAAATTATGAATTATGTGATAGTAACAACAAAGATGAGGACATGTAAAGAATTTAAATAATAACTCCTGCCGGAATTTCAAACAGAAACTACTTACCCTTGTTGCATGGTCGATGGTGGGTGATAAAGCCATGGCAAATACCGAGAAACAGCTTTGTTATCACGGCCATTACCTTTAGTAATTTCAAGTGCAATGTATTGGGCAATACCAGATTTTAACTGGCTACCAAGAGTGTCTTCGTTTAATGCCCCACCTTTCATATTATTCTGTAGAAATAAACACAATAAAATTAAATTTACTGCAGAGTGAGTGGCCATGGTTAAATGTAAAATAAATGAGAGAAGTGTTTAACAAACAGAATTGACAAAGTTTGCAAGAAAAAGAAAAGAACAGGGCAAAAAATAATATAAAGCAAGCAAGCAAGCAACATATACAAGACAAAGCAACAGTAATATGGCAAAAAGTTCACAGACTAAGAATTGAGGTTGACACACTAGAGCAAATTTGGACAAACATATGTAGCATTCTGACTTCAAGACAAGACAGACCGGGACTGAGTCATATGAAACTGAGAACTGGCCTGGTTAGGAAGAAATCCCAACAGGCATTTGTGTGTTTCTGCCTATAATTTGGGGAGGGGAAAATATTTTGCAGTCATTCCCCATTAGATTGGAATGAACATTTACACAACTGAAATATTTTAAGATTAGGAAGATATTTCTTACTATGGAGAAACATAAGTACAGCTACATGATCTCTTATTTAAAACCCTTCTCAACAGATATTTTTGGATTTTGGAAATGGTTGTGTAATACAATGCCCCCCACCTCTTAAACTATATACAACTGCATTCTAAGGTAAAGGTTAAAAAAGGCTTCATTTAATGCTGAAAACTAAATATTTTCTATACAATTTTATGGCTTCAACTACATATATTTTATACATAATTTTATGCTTTCAGGGCAAACGTATGTTTTTTTAGATGTATAATTTGTAGATAAAATGTATTGTTGGTAATTTAAAAAAAAAACATGTATTATTGGTAATTTAAAAAAAAACATGTATTATTGGTAATTTTACTGCAAAAATATATTTTAATACCTTTTTAGTGTTACATTGATTGCCATTTTATTATAAAGAAATATTACTGGTATTTTTACTATAAAAAAGACATTTTGATTTTGTTTAGGAGTTCACAATTTGCCCATATCTGGGAGACCTAACAGGTGCTACCATCCTGGGTCAGGGTGAATCTGAGAAAAACAGCAATTAAGAGGTTGCTCCACACTCCTCAAAACTTTCAATCTCATGCTCAGAGGCCTTGCTTCTAAATGTAGTTTATCATCATACCCAGGACTACTTTTTTGAACGTTGTGGACTGGTGATACAGATTCACAAAGAACTGTACCAAATAACTTAAAACCACATTACTTAAGGACTACCTGTTGATCAAATCTGATATAACTTCACCAGGCAAATTGAGTTATATAGGTATTTATTGGGATCTCCACGTCACAACTGGATGTGGCACAATGTTGAGATTTAAAGTGGGTTTGCACAAAATTAAAAATATAAAACAGCAACAATTTACCCATTGCACTCTTTCTATATGGATATGTGGTTAGAACATTCAATTTCCAACCATGAGAGACAGTTTCAAATCTCATTATGGTCGATTTACCAGGAAGATGAGTTCTTGATGTTATTTCTCGCCAATTAAATCATTAACCTTTGCATTTGTTTTTTGTGTGAATAATTCATGAATTTGTAAATTGATTGCACGTTTATCGTAATTAAAATAACTGATCCAAGTGCGACTTTTGGATAATAAGTGCGACATTACTGTAATTATTGAACAATATAGTTCATGCCACTTTGACAGAAAATTTACCAGTAAAAAATTCGTTCATCACCATATTTGTACATGAACGCACAACTGTAAAAAATTTAAAATCAATCTAGCAAACTATACACAAAGGATTATTGGATATATTTTTTTTTGCATTTTTCCTGTAGACTATATTGAACTTGTCTATAGCATTCCATGCAATTTGATTTAGAAACAAATATAAAAATCACTGGTATTTATAAAAACAAGGAATTAAAACAAAAGGAAGGAAAAATTTATTTACCTTAACTTTGGTCAGCGTATGTAAATCAGAAATAAACTCTACACAATCATTGAGATGTTGCTTCGTGCAATCTGCTACACATGTGCTAGTAAGCATCTGCGACTGAGCCTTAAACAGGGTACAAACATCATGCCCCACAATATTTGTGGGACAGATCGTACCCCCAGCGTCTAACACAACAAACTGAAAAAGAAAAAAGATTGAAAAAAATAAAATAAAATGAAAGTAAAAGTTAAAATTGTGTTCTTTACAAAAAAAAAAAAAAATTGAAATTAAGTTTTCCTTAAATTTTTAGGGCACATAATGAGGAAAGAGGGCTTGGAAAATGATATAGAACTCAAAGGGATTATCAGTGGTCAGGAACAAAGGCAAACATTATTCATAAGCTGGAGGAAGGCTTTGCGAATGAGGAAGAAAAGGATTGTCAGTGATCAGGAATAAATGCAAGCATTACTGATAGAATAAGGCTATTATATGTATAATGTAAATGTATTGCTAATGATTTTACTATAGGAATGCATTGCAAATGAGGAAGAAAGGGATTGTCAGTGGTCAGGAATGAATGCAAGCATTACTGATAGAATAGGGCTATTATATTTATAATGTAAATGTATTGCTAATGATTTTACTATAGGAATGCATTACAAATGAGAAAGAAAGGGATTGTCAGTGGTCAGGAATAAATGCAAGCATTACTGATAGAACAGGGCTATTTTATATATAATTTAAATGCTTTGCTAATGATGTTACTATATTAATGCATTGCAAATGAGAAAGAAAGGGATTGTCAGTGGTCAGGAATGAATGCAATCATTACTGATAGAATAGGCTTACAGGATGTAAAATAATCTATCATCTGAAAATTGTAATTAAGTTGAACTGTTAAAGTTGAAATTTTATAAGCCAATTATACTGAAATATGAAAAGCTAAACATTGAAGTAAATTGTATTGTTTTGGTTTGAAAATAAATATCCAGGCTCAATGCAACTTACCTGTACTAATGACAACAAATTGTCATCAGGCAAACTCTGTTTAAATTTCAAAGCTTGTACAAGCTCCAAGATAACAGTCCTGGTCAGATACAGTTTGTCCCTCTCCTAAAATATTTATAAAAAATCATTATTTATAATTACTATAGTAAACACATTACAAACTTTAATGTATAGTTGTTTCAAGATGGAAAAGAAAATAGCAAACAAATAAGATATACATTATTTACATTATTCGGACTATTGTCCTCATCTTTGTCGCCATATTTATTACAATGTTTCGGCTGTTGTACGCTCCGGCCTTCTTCAGGTGACATATGGAGAGAGAAGGGAGATCACCGCCCTCTGTGGGATCAGGTTGAGATCATAGACAAAGAACACCATTGGAAAATTCGTAAACAGGAAAAGGAATCAGCACATATGCTAGGTCACAAAAATCTCCTGAGCTGACCAAACATAGAAATGAATACAATATGGGAACCAGTAATAAAGAGTGCCAGAGAAAAGAGATAATAACAACAAAAATTGCAATATGAGCTCTGGTAAAAACATGGAATGATAACAGCAAAAATTGTAATAGGAGCACCGGTTAAAAAAGGGTTGCTGAAGACATTAGGTTTATAATACCCAATTCATACACAAGGACACATGGTACAGTGGATAAAGGTGTTAGTTAGATCCAGTGACAGGACCCAAAGAGTGTGAGTTCAATACCCAGTTAAGGCAGTGGACTTTCAGAGGGAAATTAACAGGAGATAACTGACATCCACAGTCTACCCCAGTGAGCGAAATAAAGGGTTCAGATCGACATTCCAACCAAGAAGGCTGGAGCGTACAACGGCCGAAACATTGTAATATAAAATATAGAAACGTTGATATAAATATGGCGACAAAGATGAGGACACTAATGTACATAATACTTCATCTCAGAAATATAGACAAATAAGATATACCTTTCTTTTTAATTATATATCAATCTCAAATATAAAATATAAAATTTATTTATAAAAAATATACTAGTGTATTATGTGAGACATGCTAGAAAATACCAAAGGTCTGAATTGAATGTAATATCCATCAGAAACCGTTGATCTAAGATGCACTGCAGACATAAAACATTACTCGCTGCAGAAAAGTGACAATTCACTCCAGTGTCAGAGGTCAGATTACATTTTCAGGAAAGATTAAGATAGATAAAAATAAGTGAATGTTTGTTAGACTTACTTTGGCCATGGTACGACTGCAGAGGGAACAGATGTCAATGATCTGCTGTAATTTAAAGGAACAGTTCTGAATTGTGAAACTCAGCACCTTGGAAAATGGCTCCAGTATACCCTACAATGAAGATAAATTTTCATGCATTTTAATATCACAACATTGATTTAGAGGCAAAAAGAAAAATTATATATATCAATAGTGACTCCATGGGTCAGGGTTGTCAGACTCAGCCCAAAGTGAGTCAACATTCAAATATATCTATTTCAATGCAAAAAAAAAAAATGAACTGAAATACATTTTGCTGATATTGTTCATAATAAAGAAGAAAGAAAGTAAAAAAAAGAATGAAATAAAATTAACATGGCTAGTCGGGCTACATAGATCTGAGTAATAAAATAATAATCACAACTTTAAATAAAAACTAGCAGCATAGCCCGGCATTGCCCATGCTTTATTCAAAAATCGTATGACTCATACAGCAATCGCTATCACTTGATTTAAAATATTTTTGCCCTTCCTTGCCTTTAAAGGAGTGCCCTTTGCCGTGCTGATGTTGCTACATGCCTTACTTCTTGCCTATCTCACACTGCAAATTTTTTCTAAGCTCTATACTAAACATTTAATCTGTTACAAAAAAAGAACTAAACAAAATGAACACAAAACGATCAGCTTTAAAAAAGGACTTGTAACTGGAAAAACTGAATGAAAAAAGAATGTTAACAACAAATACTTTTTCACACCCAACACAGTTCTGCAGAATCAGAATCAACATTGAGTTTAAACAAGCGAATGAGGCAATTGGAGTAAAAATGCCATGCAGATTTAAAATAGTTAACATTCGTGTCAGTCAGCTGTTGGCACTCACGCTGGCCAATAGAATCTTCCTGCCTATCCATGGCAGCCAGCTATAGGCTCTCACTCTAGCCAGTACAAAATGGCCGCAAGCTACATGAAAAGTGCCGTAGAAGCATGAAAAAATTGATTATTTCCACTATTGATGGGAGTTGGGAAATGCAAAGTCGGTCTTGGCCTTCCTGCTAACTTGGAGCATGTGCATGTAGATTTTGGTGCAAATCCGTTGAAAATTGCGGCCGTGCATTCATTACACACACACACACACACACACACACACCCTGCCTTTTATAGATAGAGATTAATATATTTTTTGCATATACTTTTAGGTCTATAAATGCTATTAATCCTTGTTTATTTTAAATATAAAATATTTATCCCCATTTATTTTATATATATAAAATAAAAATCCTGTCTATTTTAAATACAACATATATTTTTAAAATAACAAAATGTAATCCCCATATAATATATAGACTGTGCCAGCATTGCATTAACCATATATTTTTATTAAAATTTAAATTATGTAATGGTCAGTCTCTACTCAGCACCTGAAGACTGTGTTGTGCATGAAACTCTGAGTCATGCTACCAGTGAGGAAAAAATGTATATTTATTAATATATACTTAATAGCTCTGTTATATTACATCGAGCACAATTTTATTAACACTAGCACTCTGTGTATGATATATTTATTTTTTTAAGCATACAACCCCAAGCAAGGCAGGAAGCCACTAGCATGCAAGGGATTACAGAGAGTTGGAGCGAGAGCAAAGAGGAGTAATAGAGGAAAGGAGAAGGTTAGGGGATAGATCAGGGCATCTGGAGACATTGATTGACGTTACATTTGAATTGTTGGAGATTATAGCTATCAAGAAAACAAGAACTAGGGAGGGAGTTCCACAGGCAAGAAGTGCGAGACATGAAGGAGTAGAAGAGATGTCTACATTTAACAGTTTCGACAGTGAAAGAGTGTGAGCGAGATGCCAGCCTAGTTGAACACTTAAATTCATGAAATCTGGGAACCAGCGAAAGCAGTTCATCAGAGCAGTTACCGTGAAAGTATTTGTAAAAAAGACAGAGAGAGGCAATGGCACGTCTGTGAGAGAGTGGCTGCAGACAAGATGCCAGATCAGGGCCAATTACACTGCATATCCACCTTTGGATTTGATCAAGGACCTTGAGACAAATAGAAAGGGCTCCAGACCATATATGGCAGCAATACTCCATTAAAGGGCGAACGGTTGATTTGTAGATTTGAAGGATTGACTCCGACGAGAAAAATTTCTTGGTGCGCCACAGACAACTGACTTTCCTAGTGGTGGACAAATCTATTGACTAAAAATGTATTCATTCCATCTCAGGTCAGCGAACAATGTGAGACCAAACAGTCACAAAGAGGTTCTCTCGTAAAGTTGAGCATCAAACATTCTAATGGGAGACAGGGATGGTTCTCTCTGGTGAGTAATAGAAAGCAGATTTGTTTTTGAGGCATTAAAGTTAACTAGCCAATTCCTATATATGGTAGATAAATAGATATAAAAAGAATGGATTTATTTTTAATCCAACATTTTTATTACTTCAAACATTATTATAGTAGATACTTTTTATTTGAAATATACTCTACATTTTTTTTATTTATTAAATAAGGCTTACAGCCATATCAAGTTGAAACACTTGTTCCTGAATGATTAGCAAAGTTAAGAAACGTTGAATCTGGTCAGTACCTAGATGGGTGACCACTTAGGAATATGAGGTACTGTAGGCTTGGATGTGCAGGTAGTGTAATAGATAATGGCTTGCAATTGTTAATCAGAGACCTGAGTTCCAACTTCCATTTGGTTTGTTATATTCACTTATTCTGTACTCCCTTACTCCTAGAAAATGGAAAAACATAAGAATGCTGGGAAAACTAAGTAAAGAATTAAATCTTCCTTGTCTGTCATATTTAATGAAAGGTGTTTAAATGAAAGATTCCTGCCCAAATATATATATATATATATATCACACAAAGTGGAAAAAGTTTTCTTGTGACGAGTTTCAGCCTTTAGGACTTCATTGGACTAAATTTGTCATGTTAGTGAGACTAGACTACACATGCTCATATCCACCTCTCTTCTCTCCAGCTATGGGTTAATTAGTAAGACTTGTATCACTAAACCATTATTATCTCAAAAAAACAAAAAAAAAACTCTTATAGTCTAAAAAAAATATTTTTCAAGCTTAAAATAACCTGCAAGAGTTTGATAAGCCATAGAAGATGAATCAATCAACAATCAATTATTTATTAAACAGGGTATATTACATCTATTAGTCTGTGTATTCAAGAAATCCTAGTAAAGAAAATGCATTTTTAGGCAGGGTTCTTTGCTAGATCAATTAGTTTTCATTTAAAAGTTTTCTTTCTTTTAGAGTTGTTGCCAATCAAGGCTAGAGAACTCAGTCCATCCTTCTGTTAACCCATAGCTGGAGGGAGAAGAGATGGAGTCATAGCTTTCCCAAAGGCATTATTGCAAAGTGAACACTATAGATTCAGTCAGAAGTTGAATTTGAACACCGATAGCTGCTATACTACACATACATCCTACCAAATATACTTACTGAAAATAAGAAATAGATAATAAAAGAACTAGAAGTTTTAAATAAGATATCCAGTTTTTCTAACAATAATGATGCATTTACAGTAAACCCAAAGTATTAGAATCAAAATTATTTATTGTTCTTTGGCACCTCAACTTCACAAATCTAAGTGCAGTACTAGATTGGCAGTTAGGTCTCATCATTTTACTGCTGAAATTGCTCTGTAGGGATACAGAAGTCGATTATTTCTCTTTGGCCAAGATTGAGTTATGTGACAGCTACTTAGTGATATCAGTTTATAGATTGATGAAAGCAATCTGTGAGTCAGCTACCTGGAAACAAGCTGAACAGTTACTTTTTTAGTATGGGCAAGGATAAATCTGTCTTGTTTAGGTAAGCTGCCAAATGGTCAGCATACAAGTCCATAGTGCCGTTTTCCTTTGGAAATATATGTTCATGAGATATAGAAATTATCTCTGGTTCACAGTCCTCATATTCGGAAAAACCTGACTCAATGTTTCCTATTTGAAGAACTGTAACACTTCTCACCAGTCAATCCTGGATCAATTCTTATGCTGGCCTATACTGCTGCTGGTCATTGAAATTGGCCGTTCTGATCTGTGCCCCACTCTACCCAACATTGTGTTGTTTGATCATGGACCTGGCAAAGACTGAGTTGTCATCAGCAAATCTTTCCTACCCTGGTCTTGTTTATACAATCAGAAATTTACCAGCTGCTTCCTCATGTCAGTTATCTCCCTATCTTATTAGGGTCAAGTAGTTTAAGAACCCTGGGTTGGGTCTTTACCTAAAGAAATTCTATTTTCTCAACTTGTTTATAATTTCCACCTTTTTTGATAGGTAAAATAAATCAGTTTTTTTAATTTGGCCTTGTCTTTAAAAATCACCAAATATTATCTTTTCAATTGGCTGGTTCCTAGGGGCTGTTTTCATAACTTCCACTTTAAGACAACACTATCAATCGTCAGCCCAGCTTTTTCCAGGTGGTCTCCGTGGTAATATCTTTCTAACAAAATCATTTCCCTCTTGCCATCTCTGCTTAAAAAAAATAAACTTTCAAAATTAAAAGTAATCTCACTTCTTTCTCTCAGTCTATCATTTCATTCTTTAACCCTTTTCATCAGTTATATTTTAATTTTAACCCTTTTCTTTCTGTTTGCCAGTGTCACAGAATATGTCCTTGTGACATAGAAGATAAATCCAGTCCACTCAAATTTCCATTGGGAATCCTAAATCTAGCTTCTTCAGAAACATAGAATAATCATCCAGTAGCTCAAATTCCTGATTTATTTATTTATACCCCCTACAGGTACCTCAATAGAACAAAAAATACCCATTTAATAATTTAAATACTGAATATTGTATTTAAAAAAAAATTTCATTATATCTCTTTTCTGTTACATGAAATTACTTTTTAAAAAAGGAAATTAAAAATTTAATTGATATTTAAAAATATTTAAATAAGAATTTTGTTGGGGTGGGGGTTAAAATATAGAATCCCCCAAAATATAACTTATTACTTCAGAAATAAGTCAGTCAACAAGAAGTTTGGATAATTAAGGGCAACACTGATTCACACTCCTCCCCAAGTCTTTTGGACAAGGTTTATCTCTTGTTTCCTGTTTAGGATTGGGTTTCTGGTTCCTTCTAAAGTCTACTTCAACTCTATACTTCTAATAAAACATCTGAACTTTTATTTACTATTTATTTACATTTTTTCCCCAAATAAGAAACTGAAGAGTTTTCTAAAAATAAGGAAAAATTGTGTTTATTTTTCACATATAGTGTGAGTTTTTATGATCAGTTTTTTTTACACAAAAAATAGGAGTTGGCACTATGCAAAGTAACTTTTTTAAAGAGGTTAAAAATCATGCATTTTGGTGACCAGTTGCACTATACACAGGTAAATTTTTTTTTTTTCGGGGTAAAATTAATGCAAAAATTCAGGGGATGGACTATAGGTGAAGTTGGCTTATACAGGGTGCGATGGATAAATTGTCTAAATGACTCAAACATGAAAATAACAATGACATCTCATTTTAACAGATATATTTACCAAAGTGACACAAAAATATCTTGAAATACTAAAGAGTAAATTTATTCAATAAAATTGACATTGGCTTCAACCAGAGCCTCCAGACAAATTCAGAATCTCCTGCAAGTCTTCTGGATGGTCTCCTTGTTTAAGTTGGTGAATGCTGCCATAATTCTTGCCTTTAGTTCATCTTTGGTGTTGCAAAGAATTTTGTTTGTCACTCAGCTGTGCTCCCACACATAATAATCAAGGAGGTTGCAGTCTGTGGAGTTAGGTAGCCAGATGTAAGGGGTGATGTGGTCACAGAAATTGTCTGACAGGTGTGACTGGGTTCTCCTGCTTGTGTGGCATGGTGCCAGATATAGGGTCTTCCAGCAGCCACCCTCTTGACTCAGGAAAGTACTACCTCCTCATGGCACTTGATGTAGGCCTTTCTGTTGAGTCTTGAGGACCTGTGGGAAGATGAATGGAGGCATAATGTCACTATCACTACTGATCACTCCAAACACCATGATGTTCACTGGTATGATCAAACACTTTCTGAATCCTCTGAACTGCCCTCAGTTTGACACCCAAACACTTTGAAATGTATGTATTGGAGTTTCCAGTGTGAATGCTAAGCAGAATAGCATGCCATTTCCAAATTTCTGGTGGAGTGAATTGCATCATGGTGCTCTTTTTCTCACACACGGTGCCTGACTGATTCTACTATACTGTACAGTTGACAAAATAAAAAAAAAAATGTGCATGCACAAAATTAAAAATATAAAAATGACAATTTACCCATCGCACCCTGTACATGAGTATATGCCTTTTAATATTACAAATGTTCTTGTGAATCCCTTGATTAGCTTTCTAAAAATAAGGAACAATTAAGTGGTTATTATAATTGATGCCTTTTATGCCAGGTATCTTGCCTATTAGTCATGTAAATATTCCTGTGGATCTCTTGATTAGCTTTCTAAAAATAAGGAACAATTAAGTGGTTATTATAATTGATGCCTTTTATGCCAGGTATCTTGCCTATTAGTCATGTAAATATTCCTGTGGATCTCTTGATTAACTTTCTAAAAATAAGGAAAAAAATTAAGCGGTTTATAATGTGAAATTTAGAAAACACCAGTAAAATTGACAAAAAACACTGTCAGAATGAAATTTAGTCTATTATAATTCATGCCTTTTCTGTGAAATATTACTTACTCGGACATTAGTTATTCCAGGAATTTTGAGAATTGAAATCATGATGCTAAGTAGGGAAGTGGTATCACAAGGATTTGGCAGAACCAGAGGTAAATGTCTGAAGAATATTTCAAATTGAGTGAGAATATTTGGCCACAAAGGGGAAGATGTCTCCAAAGGGATACAGTTCATGTAAGTAGCCAGGTTACTGAGAAGAAGCATAATATTTTCAGAAGGGAAATTTTTCTTGTTGTTGAAGCCCTGAAAATAAAGAAAGAACAATTATAAAACAAAAAAAAAAAACATAAAAAAAACACAATCGATCAGTTTTAATCCATCAGTCTGTGGTTCTACACAAAAATAGATCTTATTAATTTTTTATTCATTTTATAAACTAAAGTATACTTTGATCATTAAATTATGACACTAAGGGTTCCCTACGTAAGTGAATCAGAACACCCACATAGAATGATTTTATCTGAGTCTGAAATGACTGGTGTTTTATGACCAGTAGTAAAGTATACAAAGTAGGATCTTCAAAACAACCACTTAACAATAAAGGAATAAAATAAAAAAATAAATTAAAACTTTTGGGAACAAGAGTCACATAGCTGGAAGTTAGGAAGTTCCAGTCGCAGGCATATATTATCAGAGTCACAAAGATACAGAGGGTTTCAGGCTACCTGTTAGTGAGTAGCCGCAAGTTGTATGCCATGAGGTAGAGATGGTCAGAGCGATTTTTTTTTATTGATTGAATCATTTTTTATGGCTTATCAAACCTTTGTAGGTTATTTAAAGCCAGAAACTATTTTTATGTTGTAAGAATATTTTTTTCGAGATAATAGTTTAGCAATAAAAGTCATTAGCTAGGGGTGAGAAGAACTGGATTCATACCTTTCCAAAGAGTATTTGTGGGTAAGAGAATATAATAAACCCAAGTGGAATTGGAACTCAGCTCTCCAACTAACATTACACCACCCACACATCCAAGTTTACAGCACATTGTATTTCCAAGCAGTCACTCATCTAGGTACTACCCAGCCTCGATGTTGCTTAACATATGGGAACCAATGTTTCAACATGATGCGGGAAGAGCTGATCAGTGAGTCTGTTGTGACATAACTAGCAAAAATTGTCCCAAGGGTTATCTACCTAGCCTCACCCCAGACCATATGGTGTTAATTTCACATTTTGTTTTAGCGAGACCACTTTCTTTATTTAGTCATTTCACCCTAAGTGTGGCAATAATGCCACCAAGACACAAGGGGTTACTGAGTATGGAAAAGAAAAAAAAAAAAAAAAAAGGAGACATTTTTTTTAAGAGACAGGATAATAAAGGAACAGGATTTAAGGAGACAGAAGTTGACAATTGACATTTCATTGGCTTATCTGTTAGATTATGGCTGAAGGATTTTACATGAAGTGACAGCATTGAAAAAAAAAAAAAAAAAAAAATCAAGGAATAACTATATAAAGGGTGTTCCAATAAATTGGACTGATTTTAAATGTGAATTAAGTTTAAGTGTTTAATGATTTTTTTTTCTTTTTCTTTCAGATTTAACAACTTGAATCTTTGGCAATTTCAACCATGGAAAGATTAACAATCAAACATGTTAAAGTTATCGAAGCCTATTACGAAAACAGACATTCAAACAGAAATGCATTTCATGCACCTCCCAGGTCGCATCATCTCTTGAAACAGTGAAGTCAGTTGGCCACCACGATCGTGCGACTTGACACCTTTAGATTCCTTCCTTTGGGGTCATCTCAAAAGTAAGATCTATGCCAACAAGCCAACAACAATTCAACAGCTGAAGGATGAGATAATAAGGTATATTGGTGAGATCAAGGAGCAACTATGCAGAGACGTCATCAAAAATTTTGACTATTGAGTAGAGGTGTGGCGGACATTTCAACGATATTATTTTTTTTCTTTTTCTTTAAAATTTAACAACTTAAGTCTTTGGCAATTTCAACCATGGAAAGATTAACAATCAAACAACGTGTTAAAGTTATCAAAGCCTCTTATGAAAATGAATGTTCAAACAGAAATGCTTTTCATGCACTTCGCAATTTTTTTGGTTAACATAATCGAACAACTGAGAGTGCAATTGGTATCTATGTAATGTTGTTGTGGAGAGGTTCTGTTCCTGCATGCGATAACGAATAAAGATGTCTGGATTTTCGGCCATAATCTCATTCAGTGCAGCAATGTTTTCAGCTGAATGGCATAAACGAGTTTTCACATCTGCCACTGACACAGTTTGTTTGAATTTATGAACAATTTTTTCAATTGCACTCTTGAAACTTTAACACATTGTTTGATTGTTAATCTTTCCATGGTTGAAATTGCCAAAGACTTAAGTTGTTAAATCTGAAAGAAAAAGAAAAAAAATCATTAGACACTTAGACTTAATTCATATTTAAAATCATTGGCCTATCTGTTAGATTATGGCTAAAGTATTTTACATGAAGTGACAGCATTGAAAAAAAAAAAAAATCAAGGAATAACTATATAAAGGTTATTCCAATAAGTTGGACTGATTTTAAATGTGAATTAAATTTAAGTGTCTAATGATTTTTTTTCTTTTTCTTTCAGATTTAACAACGTAAGTCTTTGGCAATTTCAGGCATCATAAAATTTTAATCTATTATATGTCATAGTAAAATCTTACCTCAAGGAGTAATTGTATAGGTGTATGACAGGTGAGTTCATTAAAATCAATTAAAACAGAAGCCATTGTTTTCCAGAAATTTGAATCTGCAAAAAAACAAACAGTCATCATTATTCTCTCTGATAAGACAAAAAAGTTCTAAGTTTATCATTTTCTGCCTTAAGAAATTATATGAAACAGATCAACACAGAAAATAACAGTTTCCAGTTTACGTTAATGCCTTCAAAAACACTTTCTTCTCTGTAGAATCTAATAAAGATTTTTTCTTCTTTCTCAAAGTCCCAATGCGCTTACCTTACACCCAGGTTCATCTCTCACTCTAAAAAGGCAAAATACATTGTCTGAATAGCTTTTCCAATTTGTTTCATTATTGCGAGTTTTAATATTATATAATAAATGTGCTTGTCCCTCCTGTTGTTAGTTCACAGGTGCTACTTGGTTTCAATGACAAAAAGAAAAAAAAATAGAAGTGTTTAATATCTCCTGCCTATACCCAATAAATAACTGACTATTTCATTTTGATCACACGGAAAGACAATAGATATATCAAAGATGCTACTTGATTTCAGTGAAAAAAGATTGATCAGTTTTATGGCACAACCCAGGTGGATCACTTAATGCTGAAGAAGGTTTTCAGGTGATTTAATTTCTTTTGGGAGTAGGGGATTATATAGGGGGAAAATTCCATTTTTTTTTTGGCGGGTGGGTGGGGAATGAATGGTAGATTTTATAAAACTGGTTGCAAAACAATGTAGGTAAGCAGGTTTGGTAAAGAGTTCTTTTGTTTTTTATTTTTCTGTAGAGGCCGATTGTAGTTTCGCAACAGTGTCAGGTGCAGTCACGTTCTTAATTGCATCGGCTCTCTGTGGGTCCGGTTTCCTGCCTTCACTGTCTATTACCTGTCCGAGGTATGTAATTCTTTCCATGAAGAATTTACACTTCTCGTGGCTTAATTTAAAACCAAAATCTTCTAGTCTTTTGAATATCGCTCTGATGTGCGTTTTATATTCTTGAACATTCTTACTTTTGACTAGAATGTCATCTAAATAGGCGGTACCAAACTCAAGGCCTGCCAGCATAGTGTCCATCACCTGTCGAAACAAAGCTGAGGCGACCTTTAAGCCAAAAGGAAGCCTATTTAGCTTATAAATACCTTTATGTGTATTTATACACAAATATTTTGAGCATTCGTCACTCACTTTAATCTGCAAGTATGCATCAGACAGGTCGATTTTTGAAAAAATCTTCCCACCAATTTTGAAAAAATATCTTCTGGTGAAGGTAGTGGGTAACTGTGATTTTTAAGGCAATCATTTAACCATGTTGAAAAATCTGCGCACACTCTTATTTTTCCGTTTTTCTTCTTAACATAAACTGTGGGCGAGGCCCAATCCGAATGGTCAACCTTAGATATCACTCCCATTTTTTCAAGTCTTTCCAATTCCTTATTAATTGTGTCTAAGGAGGAAAAAGGAACGTTTCTCTTAGGTTTAAAAATTGGTTTCACATTTTCCTTGAGTTCAAATTTGACTTCCGCCTTTAGTACATAAACCCAATCCTCAGAAAAAAACTCTGGGATATTCTTCTTTTAATTCATTCATGAATTTTTCATTTTAATACTTTTTGTTTTTCTGCACTGTTTATTACGTTGCAAAATGAGTTAATCGGGAGTTCGAACAAATCAAAGAGTACTATCCAGTCTATTCCAAAAAGACATGAATTAATCCCTTGATTACATACACTTTCGTTTTTGCAGTCTTGCCACATAACGAAATATCGCACTTTAATTCTCCCTTAAAGCTTAATTTCTTTCCTGAAACCCCTCTAGCGTTTTTTTTGGTTTCAGATAATTTAGGTCTTCCAATATTTTTCCATATTTGTTCATCAATGATGCTTATGTCTGAACCAGAATCCAATAGGAAAGTAATTGTATGATTATTGATACGTACATCTACGTACTTTCTATTTTTACCTTTCTGAATTTCTTTTTCTGATAATACCAGGCTTACATCTTGTAATTTTCTTTTGTGGCAAACCAAATATTTATGCCCTTTATTTCCGCACAGTTGACAGAATTTGTTTTTGTACCAACACACGTCTTTGGTATGATTTTTATTTCCGCACGATTGGCAGAATTTATTTTTGTACCAACACACGTCTTTGGTATGATTTTTTTTTTCCACACAATTGGCAGAATTTTTTTTTGTACCAACACGTGTCTTTGGTATGATTTTTATTTCCGCATGATTGGCAGAATTTATTTTTGTACCAACACGTGTCTTTGGTATGGTTATTTTTTCCACACGTCTCACATTTTTCTATCTTTTTGGCTTTTAGAGTTTATCGAGTTTTTACGTGTTGAATATTAGCAACACTTTTCTCCTCAATTTGGGTATTATCCCTTTTTACATTTATGAGACGTTGGCATTCTTCGGTCACCCTTTGTAATGTTATTTTCGAGTCTTGCTCAACCATTATTAATATTCTCGACCTAATTTCTTTATATTTAGGATCAGTTAGTCCTTGAAGAAAAATTAGGCACTTGAATACATCTTTGGTTATTTCTTCTAACTTGAATTGTTCAACCAGAGAGTTCACTGTTCCTCACAGTATGACACAAAAATCCTCGTTATCTGCTTTTAACGATGTTTAGGCATCTGTATCGTGTGTGAACAGACTATTCCTTTCACAAATATTTTTGACAGAATACTTATAGTTTCTTCAAACGAAACTTCTTCTGGCTTTCTGGGCAATATCAAGTTTGAGTACTTCCTATTCTCGTTTGTCCCTAGTTTCTGGACTAATAATGTTACTCGTTCATCATCCGACCAATGTTGACATCTCTTGGTAAATATAGTTTCGAAACGTTTAAAGTATGCTGGAAATGTAATGCCCGAATCAGGATCATAAATAAATTCGGATAATGAATTTGCTATTCCTTCGGCAGAAAAAACAGTATTTTTTCTTTCTCCAGTCGCCTGTTTCAGAATTTTTTTGAGACTTTTTTGCTGTTGCAAGTCTTGGTGCTGTTTTTGTTGCTGTTGTTGTAACTCTTGATGCTGTTGTTGTTGCTGTTGCAAGCTTGTACACAGCATTTTAGTCATTTCGACTAATTGCTCCATCCTGACTTTATTTAGAATTCGGCAAAATTTTTTTTTTTTTTTTTTAACAGACAATTTACAGCCGTAATATTTTTACAAACCGTAATTTTTACTTGAATAATCAATTATTAGACTGGCTCGTATTTGAGTCACGGTTCAATATATATTTTTCAAATCACAATTTAACAGTAAAAATTTTCTTACTTTTCAAAAAGTTTCCTTTTGACTTGTGACTCTGCTTTCGAAATTCTAATCGGCGTCAACAGATATCTTTGACATGCGAATCTGCTTCCGAAATTCGTTCAGCATAATCTGATATATATATATATATATATATATATATTTTTTTTTCAGGTAAGTACGTTGCACAATCCTTGTCGCCAGCTGTCATATCTCGTGCAAGATATAATAAACAAAGTAAACCCGATTGTTGGTTTTCAATAATAATTTCATAATCGGATGTAGGTATGTCAAAATACAGAGACAGAGTCAGGAGTAAGCTAACCTCAATAGGTGTTAACAAATGAAGACCTTTTTCCACTGTCTGTGGTGGTCGTACTTAATCGGCAACCAGTCCGTCCATTATCGTGAATGGGGAAGTTGGGTTATCTCATCACAACAATCCTACACAAACTTTGAAACTTTTATCTGACAAAAAGTTATTTATCAAATTGGGCAATCTGCTCTTTAATCTAAGATTGTATAAGTCTTTCATTATCCCATATCTCCATGTTGTTTCATAGGCTTTTTCTAGATCAAAAAAAATGTCTATTGCATGTTCTTTTTTAATAAAAGCCTCTCTAATGAATGTTTCTCAGTGGACAATGTTGTCTGTGGTGCCTGCTTTGTTTCAGAATGCAATCTGGAGGTTGGTAATTCAACTAATAGTTTCAAGGTATCAGTTCAGTCTTTAATTCACTAGTCTTTCTAGAGTTTTACATATGCAACTTGTTAATGTTATGGGTCGAAAGTTTTTTTTTTATGTCTGCTTTGTCTTTATCTGATTTTGGCATAGGGATCACAGTATCTTGTTTCCAGCTATTCTGGAGTTTGCCCTTAAACTATATCACGTTAAAGATGTTTTACAGATATCTTTCTGATTTGGGTGGGGGGAGTTGTTTAAGAAATTCATAACGAATTTCATCTGGGCCAGTAACTGTATTATGTGATTCCCTTATGGAATCTATAACTTCATTTAGGGTAAAAGGTTGGTTGTAATCTTCTTTATTGTTCAAGTTTAGTTTACTTTTTTTTTCTGTATCTTGCTTAACTTTTGGGAATTGTTGTTTGTAGTTTTTGCTAGAGGAATTTTGTTTAAAGGTTTCTGTGAGCAGATTTGCCATATCCTTTCGGTTTGTTATTTTTATGTTATTTTGAGAAAGGTGATTTAGAGGAAGTGAAAGATTTTTACCAGCAATTTTCCTTATCATATTCCAGACTTTTTTTGGTTTGGTATGGGAATTTATTTTATTTATCTAATCTCTCCATAATTTTCTTTTAGCTTCTTTGGTGGTTCTGGGTGCTATTACTCTAACTTGAATAGATTTAAATTATGGGTTGTAGGTTGGGTATTAAATTATGGGTTGTAGGTTAGGTATTAAATTTTCATAGTGTTGCTCTACATAATCTTATTGCCTTTTTGCAATCTTTGGTGAACCATGGTCTTTGATGTTTATTTGATTCACTGCTTTTTGGTATACATTTTATTGCAATTTCTATTAATGTTTCATAGAAATAGTAAATAGAATTTTTTTTGTCATCTTTGTCTGTTTTTGACAGCATTGGTTTTTATATTCCCTCCTGTTATGATGTTAATTTTTATTACTATTTGGTGGAAAAGCAAGAGAAATAAGATGAAAGAAATACTAGTGAAAAATGAATAATAATTGCCAAGGCTTCATCTAAGAAATTCACACAACTTAAGACTATTACTACTTGGTGGAAAAGCAAGAGAAATAAGATGAAATAAATACTAGTCAAAAATGAATACTAATTGACAACGCTTCATCTAAGAAATTCAGACAACTTAAGACTATTATTACTTGCTGGAAAAGCAAGAGAAATAAGATGAAAAAAATACTGGTCAACAATTAATTGACAATGCTTCATCTAAGAAATTCAGACAACTTAAGACTATTACTATTTGGTGGAAAAGCAAGAGAAATAAGATGAAAGAAATACTAGTGAAAAATGAATAATAATTGCCAAGGCTTCATCTAAGAAATTCAGACAACTTAAGACTATTACTACTTGGTGGAAAAGCAAGAGAAATAAGATGAAAAAAAAATACTAGTTAACAATTAATAATAATTGATAATGTTTTATGTAATAATAGATTTAAGATAATAAATTTGTTATATGCATTTTACTTTCTGTTGAAAATAATCTTCAGCTTACCTTCTAAATTGCTTTGAAACAAGACTGGAAAGATCCCATTTGGTGCCAGGTGGTGTAGACTACAGCGCAAAAACTGACGTGCAATACTAACACAATTACCTGGAGCCATCAGGTTACTACAAAAATGAAATAATTATTTTTTAATAATTGCAAATGGTATTTTAAAAAATGTGTTTAAATTCTTTTCATATAGAAAAATAAACAAAATTACTACAAAAATAATTAGAGAACTATTCTTTAAAAAAAATTTTGAAAAACAAGATTTTTAAGATCATCATGAATTTTGAGAGGAATTTTTATTCTTCCAGAAGTTTTTTCTGACTATTTGTACAATTGTAAATAAAATGAGATTAAAATGGACCATAAGGGAGTAAATTATAATTATACATAATATTACAGTCTATTTATATAATGGTAAGTGAAATGAGATCAAAATGGACCATAAGGGTATAAATTAATATTATAAATAATCTATAGCTGGCCACTCATATTTAAGGATACCCATCTACTAGGGCAGCTAGCCAATCCCTATTGGAGACACTTGCTCAGGCACATTCATGTTTGTCCAACACCCACAGAACCCACCTGTGGTTTATACTGCAACTATGCTGAGCAGATATTAGTTACAGCTTCTGGGAAAAAGCATGTTATCTAACATGATCAACAATCTGATCAAGGCCAGCATACTCAAATTCTCGGTCACGACAACTTGTGACTTTGTGCTATCAACAGCCCCCAAGGGTACCATCTACACAGTTTCACTCACAAGGCTTGGCTCAACCCATGATATGATTTTCAGACACTTCCCAAATGTTGCCGCACACTGGCAGACTGATAGCATCAGGAAGTCTCCTTCCTAACAAATCGACCATGGTGAGATTCAAACCCAGGTCTCATGGTTAGAAAGCAAATGTCTAACCACTCAGCCATGTGCCCATATAAAATAATATTACAGTTTATTTGTACAAATGTAATGAAACAAAGAGTGAACATGATTTTTAAAAATGTTTACTTGGCTGAAATATCATCTATAAAAAATTGAAGATGAGAACAATAGTTTGAGTAAAATATATTGACTATTTCTCATCTGAAAAATCAAACAAAAACAACTGGTAATTAAATAACTTGCCTGTCAACATGCCATGGATAGGGACTACTTGCTGCAATCCTTGAAAAAAAGATAAAAGAAAAAATCCAATGTAAAATTATGAAATAAGATGAAGAAATACTAGTCAAATATTTTAGTTAACTTTGACAAAGACAGATCAATAGGTTTATCACGTGACATGTAATTTTTAACTGAAATTCTCACTGTATAATATTTCATCTTTCTGATTCATATTCTCCACTGAATTAAGATTCACTACAACAAAAGGGATGATGTGAAAAAAGAAATATTTGTTGTTTGAGGGAAGCTCCAAAAGTAATATTTCTTATTTATTTCCACATAAATGAAAACATCTACAAGGAGCACATTAACACCACTGGATAGAGCAAGTTTTCATGTAGAAAACAATTTTTCTACATGGTCACTACCAGTGATTATACATTTTGGGGACAGTCATCATTTTGCATGTTGACAGTTATGCAGCCCATCCCCCACCCCAGAACATGGTTTATCACACAAAATGTGATCATAACTGCTGAAACACTGCTCACATTTAGTGTTTGGTCTCTATAAACATTCAGTAAGTGTTGATGAATATCAATAGGTGGAATATTTCCACATGGAGGAATTTAGCTTCACACTTCTGCTTTATATTCACTTTTGTGCCAAACACCATTTTGCCATACTACTATCTGTATCAAGGCAAATAATGTAAAGAATTATAGGTTATTGGTGCATAGCTTCTGCTCCTGCTGCCATACTAGTAACATAATAAAAAAAGGCATTACATTTAGACCAAACCTCGTCTGTTATATATATATATATATATATATATATATATATATATATATATATATATAAAAAATAATAGCTGGCCATTCAGGGATACTCATCTACTAGGGCAGCTAGCCAATTCCGATTGCAAACTCTCACTCAGGCACATTTGTGTTTGTTCAACATCCACAGAGCCAACCTGCAGTTTATATTGCAACTATACTGAGAAGACCTTAGTTACAGTTTCTGGGAGAGAGCATGTTATCTAGCATGATCAACAATGTGAACAATGCCAGCACACTCAAACCCTCGGTGATGATGACTTGTGACTTCAATATTGCTCTATGGCAATTGTAATTTTTTTTTTCTTAAATTGACATTTAATACAAACACCCTTTGAAAATGAAATCCTACTGACTTGATTCTATAACATTCTTAAAAGTAATGAAGACAACAATATTTGAGTGCCACATACTGCAATAACACATTCTACAACCATGGCAAAGATGGCTGAACTTGACAAGAAGCTCCAAATGAAGATAGTTGATACATACAAACAAGGTAATAGATATACAACTTTCCAATCATTTAAATGTTCCTAAATTAACAATTCGTAGCATTATCAATATGAGACTCATTGTGTTGAGAATAAATTAAGGGCTAGTAGAAAACAATTAATTTCTGAGAGAATGGAAAGGAAAATTGTTAGAAATGTCTCAAAGAATCCTCACTTAATGACAAAGGGCATTGTCAGTGATGTAAAGATAACAGGGTTGAATGTATTGGTGAAGACAGTCACTATATGCTTTTATCAAACAGAGCTTCAAGCTTGTCTATATTTCTGAGATGAGGTATTATGTACATCTTTTACATTATTCGGACTATTGTCCTCATGAATGCAATGATAACAACATAGTTGCAATATGAGCTCTGGTAAAAACATGCAATGATAACAGCAAAATTGCAATATGAGCACTGGTAAAAATGCTGAAGACATTAGGTTTATAATACCCAGAAATTCATACCCAGATGTCCTCAAGGACACATGGCACAGTGGATAAAGGCGTTGGTTAGTTACAGTTACAAAGAGTGTGAGTTCAATACCCAGTTAAGGCGAAATAAAGGGTTCAGTTCGACATTCCAACCACCTGAAGAAGGCCGGAGTGTACAACTAATAAATATGGCGACAAGATGAGGACAATAGCTTCAAGCTCTCTTGCTTAAGGATAAGCACCTAAAATGCGAGATGCTATTCTAGAACGGACCCTTTTATATTTCAGGCTTTACCTTAGCTTAGGGGCCCCCTTATTTATACATAAATATAACATAATTTTGCATTAATGCAATAAAAGCTGGTTTAAAGCTTACTTTAGACATAAGTTTTCAAATAAATTAATGCTGCATGTTGCTGCAAAATGTAACAAAATTAAATTTTGTTATATTTAAATATTAATTTTACATGTAAATGAAAACAGTAATAGTATTTAACAAATAGTTTTATTGTCAATTACACACAGGATTTTTTAATACACACTTAGTGAGAAGGATGTACTTGCTCGGCTTTGCACAAACTGTCAATTCTTGGCGATATTCCTGATAAACATACACGTAAGTCACTTTCTGGAGCAAGTCTGGATTTGTATTTGTTTTTCAGATTGATTAGTGCCGAAAATCCTGTTTCGCATAAGTAACAAAATCTTAACTGCCTTCCGAGATATAACAATGGATACTCAGAGGCTACAGTGAGCCAGAATTTCGAAAGTTGTTGCTGCATAAAACTGATTTTTAAAGTTCTGTCATATGAAATTTCCGCCAGTTCTTCCAGTTCATTATAAGTTGCACATCACCTATAAAAAATCTTTGCTGTCCACGGACCCCCTATCTTGTCCTTGCGGACCCCCTGTAGTCCGTGGACCACAGTTTGAAAACTCCTGATCTAGAACATGGGAGTAAACATTGGAACTTTGTTTTATGGTCAGATGAAACCAAACTCGATAAACTTCTGTTATATATGGTCAGATAAACTTTTATTATATATGGTCAGATAAACTTCTGTTATATATGGAGGAATATGAATGAAGCTCCCAAACCAAAAATTACCCTCCCTACAATTAAGCACGGTGGTGGGAACATATTGCTCTGGGGATGTTTTGCTGCTTCTGGACCAGGAGAACTACTGAGAGTCCAGGGTATCATGGATAAAGAGCGGTATTTCGTTTTTCTAAAAAATAATATAAAACAAAGTGCACAAAAGCTGTCTTTGGGTGGTCACTGGATGTTCCAACATGACAATGACCCAAAATATACAGCATGAATTGTTACAATATATTTAGATGACAGCAAAATTAAGTTATTGGCATACCCCACACAAAGTCCTGAACTAAACACCATTCTTTGTAGGGTCTTTCTGCCATTGAAAAATTTTTCTATGTGCTTCTTTTTATTCTGTCGGAAATTCTACTCAACACTGGATCTTGTATGGTTTCTATTCTGAGATGATTAAGAGATAATATGTCCGCATCAACCCAGTGCCGTATTTTATCTTTTGAATTTTCAGACATTTCTAATTGTTTACTGTCAAAATTTAGTCTGGATAGTGCATCCACACATGGAATAGTTTTTCCTTTTACATATATGATGAAGTCAAAGGCTATGAGTTTTATAGCCCATCTTAAAATTTTAGATGTGACTTTTGGTAATTCTTTTCTACGGTTAAATATAAACTCTAAAGGTTTGTGATCTAACTTTAACAAAAATGTTCATCCCAACAAAAAATTTCGAGTTCGTTCTGTGCTCCATACTAATGCTTCTTTCTCAATATTTGAGTAGTTAGCTTCAGTTGATGTTAATTTTTTTTAGCAGGTACATTGGATGACCTTCTTGAGATAAAATTGCAACTACAGTATGTTCATTTGCATCTGTAGTCAACATCACTTCTTTTTGGAGATTTTCTTATTAATGCCTGTTTTAAGCTTTCAAAAGCTATATTTTGCTTTTAAGTCCATTCAAATTCTGTATTCATTTTCCGTAATTCTGCAAATGGTTCTATTAGGTCGCTTTATCTAGGTAGATATTTCCTATAAAAATTGGTCAATCCCAAAAAAGATTCTAATTCTTTTTTATTTTTTGGTGTAGATACTTCTGATATTTTATTTATCAGTTTATTGTCTCGTGAAATTCCTTCTTTAGATATTTGGTATCCCAACTACAATATTTTGTCATAATTTAACTCACTTTTATTGATATTTATCATTATACCAGCATTTTTTGATTTGTTTAAAACTTTTTTTTTAATTTCTCTTTACTGTAAGAACCTATGCCTATATCATCTTGATATATGATTATATTTTTTACCCACTCCAACAGAACTTTTTCAATTGCCTTTTGAAAAATAGAGCTTGAAGTCTTAACTCCAAATGAAAGCCAAGTCCATCATAGTAAATCTATCTGGGTATTGTAGTGACTTCTTTAATTTTTCTGTCAATTTCTATTTGGTTATATGCCAATTTCAAGTCAATCTTGGCAAACTATTTCATTCCTACTAATTCATGACCTGCTATTTCTATGTTAGATTAGGGGAATGAATTAGAACATATCTAATAATTCACACCTACTTTGTAATCCCTGCATATCCTCAAATCGCCATTGGGCTTTTGTATTGCAACAATTGGTGAAGCCCAGCTGCTACCATCTTGGGTAACTTTTTCCAATATGCCTGGTTCTACCATTTTCTTTAGTTTTGCAACTACCATGGATAGAATGTCAATAGGTATTTTTCAAGATTCAAAATAGACTGAGTGATTATTTTCCTTTAGACGAATACTAGCTTTATATTCTTTTAATAGTCCTATGTCTGGTTTTTCTGACTTTCTAAGGTTTATTAATTTTGCCATATCCACTTTTAAAACGTCTATTCCCAGAAGTCCATGATTTTTTGGGCATTCTACAACAGTGATGGGAATAATCTCAAAACATTTTTTTGTCTCAAATGTTTCTTCAAAAGAGCCTAGAGTTTTGATGACAAATCAATCAAATTGTTTTAAATTAAGAATACTTTTTTTTTTAATTTCTTCCCAAAACTTCCTTGGGATCAAAGTAACATCACTCCCCGTGTCAACCTTCATGGGGAAAAGTTATGCCATTCAATTTTACTGTCTCTTTCTACTTTTTACAGGTGTTATCAAATATACTTCTGTATTTTCAGTATGAGGATTTATATTTTCTACCTTTTCTATTCTCTTTTTGTGTCTTCACACAGATTGGATATGGTCTTTTCTTTTATATTTTAAACATAATTTTCCTAGGGATGAACTTTTGTTTTTGTTTCTTTCATGTTCTTTGTTGCAATATTTGCACTTAATTAGGATTTCAGTTGTGTTGTATGTGTTTACATTGTTTTTAGAATTATTAAATTCATTAATTAATTCTAACTTCTTCAAGACTTCTACACTTACTTCTAAATTCATATCATTTCCTTTGCAGTTATTCTAGGATTTTATATTTATATGTCATACATGTCTTCAATTAATCTTAGAAGGATCAATTTGTCATATCTCTCGAACCCAGTTTTTCAAATTCACAATATCTTGTAGCTTCTTTCAATCTGTGTAAATATTGCATTATCGTTTCATTTGGGTTCTGTCTATTTTCCAGAAATTTTGTTCTTCCTGCAATAACCAGCTTTTTTTTTTGTTCCTTGTTTCTTTTTATAATGGTTGAAATTTCCTCATGTTAAATCTTCCAGTATTTTGGGGTACACCATAATAGATATTTTCTTTATGGCTTCACATCCTGCTGAAGCCAAAAATAGATCAGTAATTTCAATCTTCCCTTCATAGGCTTTTTTGTCTTTCAGTTTCTTTACCCAATCCAGCGCTGCTAACCATCTAATCCATGTTTATATGCGCCCGGTTCATCCCACACAGTTAGGATTCCTGTCAGTGATGCCATATTGTTATGAAGTAGAGTACTCTCTGGAAGAGATGTTGTCAGGTCGACAAATTGTAGTTTGACTGGCATTTGCTGTGGCTACTACATTTATAGCTGTATCTCATTTACATACAATATGCCACTGATGTTATGTAGAAGTGACCTTTTTGTTTCCATTGTCTCTAAAACTTTGTTGTTTCTCAAATGTTCACACCATAGTATTCTCAGCATCCTTCTGTAGATGATTGTTGATTGATTTGTTTTTTACATTTTATCAACATTTTGCAGGTTATTTAAAGCTGGAAAATATTTTCTTAGATTGTAAGAATTTGTTTTTGGTGATATTAATTTACTAATACAAGTCCTAAAAATTAATCTGGGGTGAGAAGAGGTGGATTTATACCTTTCCCCAGGGTATTTGTGAGTAAGAGAGTATGCGAACCTGACTGGAATTGGAATTCAGCTATCCAATTTCCAATTCTGAGACATTATCCATTACACCAACCTTACATCGATAGCTTACAGCAACTGGTATTCCCAAGTGGTCACCAATCTAGCTATCAACTAGGTTTAAGTTGCTTAACCGGTGATTTACTAGAACTGGTGTTTCAACGTGATAAGGTCATAGGCCTCCTTCTATAGAACCACATGTTTGTTGCTTCGAGTCACTTCTTCATCTGTGAGGAGATTGTCCAGCATTCACTGCCATGTAGGATGACTGATATTAAACTATATAAAAAACTACAAATGATGTATCCAATAAGAAGGCAGCTGATTGAGAGATTGGAGGCTTTGAGGAGTGTGGAACCATCTCTTAATTGCTGTTGTTCCCAGGTTCACCCTGTCTCAGAGTGGTAGCACCTGTTAGGGTCCTAGCTATGGGCAAATAGTGAACCCCTAAACAAAAGCAAAATGCTATGAAAGTATGAAAATAACATTTTATACTAAGAATACTAGTGATACATTTTTATATAAATTAATAAGAGTACCTATTTACAGTAAAATGACCAACAATACATTTTATCTGTAGTAGAAAGCATACAATTATGTTCAAAATATATTTAGTTGAAGCCATAAAATTGTATTCAAAATATTTAGATTTCACTACTAAATGACCCATAGAAGTGTTGATATGATGCTAAACAAAATCAACAAACCAGCCAATCAACATATGATGCATAAAGCATGACTTACCTTGCCACAGTTTGCAGACTGTCTAACACTGTAGGCATTGCTAATGCTGGTTCTCTATATATAAAAGTAGACAAGACGATGATACACAAGCCAATTGTTTCTTCATCATACTGTTCCAGAATAGCATGACATTCAGGACATCGGTCAGCCATAATATTCTCACCATATCGCTGATATTGTGGCCTTTGTTGCTTCTTTGCTTGATTCTTGTTCAGTAATTCGCTGCGTCGGGATCTTCGGCTATCAAAAGACATATCAAATATACATAAAATTATAAAAAGAGAAATGTTAAACCCATCCACTAAGGATAATATATGTGTATATTAAATATAGGTTAACTGTGAAGGTCATGAAAGGTTAAAAGTAAGAGGAAAGAAACCATTTTTTTTTATGAAAACTAAATATTTATTCTTAGATAAAAATATATTGGTAAGGGAGGTAAATGAGCTTTTGGTAGTTAATCAATGCATGGTTATTTCCCTTAGTTATTTTATTACTCTACACTAGCATTTCTCAACCTTTTTGCCCTTGCATAACCCTTAAAATAAATTACATGTCTCAAGGAACCCCTGCGCAAAAACAAAATTATATGCCATATCTTTCTCATTTTATTTTCATCGTAGTTCACATGGTAAATATCATAGTATATATTTTTGAATAACTGCTTTAAGGAAAAATTAATACTTCTTTGTCAAATTTTTCAGTAATGCTAAAGAAAATTCATACTGTTTGTTTATAATACTTCATCAGAGTTTTCACTCACACAAAAAAATCTAAACTCAAACGTAAAAAATAAACATAAATAACCAATATCATATACCTATAATATAAATGTAAACAGAATATTACACTAACTAAGACTATATTGTGTGTGTTAAGTAGTATTATGTATATGAAATTAAATAAAAAGTCAAAAGTGCATTAGCTTATCTCACCTGTTTGCACAGAACCCATGAGGACCTTTTGCAGAACCTCAAGGTTCCGGGGAATCCCAGTTGAGAAATGCTTATCTATACAAATAAAATGAAGCATCTATATGTGTCATTTTATTTAGACAATATTAGTCACTGAGAAATACCAGATATCCCTACTAGTTTCATTGTAGAGTAAGTGGCCATGGTTAAATGTTGATAAATGGTAGAAATGTCCAACAAACAGAACTGACAAAGTTTACAATAAGCAATATCAAGAAATAGTGAAGAAAAGAACAGGAGAAATAAAATATAAAATGGCGAGGGGCAAGTATTTTGAAGTCATTTCCCACAAAGATTGGGACGAATATTCCGAAAAAAAAGAAAGAAGCAAACTTACGTAGTCTTGCTGCTTGTTTCTTCTTGAAGTGCAGCTGATGCATTTTCGGAAAGTTCAGGGAAAATCTTCTGCAGTTCAATAGTTGTAAGACCAGTTTTACGTGCTTTACGTTGACGGTAGTTTGGTTTAAACAGGTAATCACGTGTGAATAAAGTTGCTGAAGAATCATCTGGAGAAAGAAAAAAAAGGAAAAAAAAAGAGATGTAAACATACACATGTGGCCTTCCCTCAGTCATTCACTGATGAGACAGCTTCATCTTACAATAGGTGAGTGTGTGGGTGGTGTATTGGATAATGGCTCAGAAAGAGAAATCATAAAGCTGAGTTCAAATTACAGTCGAATTTGTTACATTCTTTTACATGTGAAAATACACTTGGAAAAAGTAAGAATCTATCTTTTCTCCTTTAAGCTATCAGTAAATAGCAGGACAGACTGGGTTCTATAGCCTTGGATGGAAACTCGTCTATGAGAATGACAACTTAGAATTCAAAACTTGAGAAGCGTTGCTTGGGGATCTTGTGACACACTACAGGGTGCGATGGATAAATTGTCTTCTAAATTAAGCAAAAATGAAAATAACACTGATATCTCCTTTTAACAGATATATTTACCAAAATTACACAAAAACATTTTGAAATACTAAAGAGTAAATTTATTCAATAAAATCGTCATTGGCTTCAACCATGGCCTCCAGACGACGTTGGAATCTTCTGCATTGGTGAATGCTACCATAATTCTTGCCTTCAGTTTATCTTTGGTGTTACAAAGAGTTTTGTTGGTCTTTCACTCAACTGCGCCCAAAACATAATAATCAAGGGGATTGCAATTTGGGGAGTTAGGTTGCCAGATGTAAGAGGTGATATGGTTGCAGAAATTGTCTTACAGCCATGACTGGGTTCTCCTGCTTATTTGACATGGTGCAGAGTCCTGTTGCCAGACATAGGGTCTTCCAACAGCCACTCTCTTGACCCAGGAGAGCACTAGCTCCACAAGGCACTGAGTAATCAGCCTTAGACTCATCCAACTCTTTCCAAATCCTCTGCACTGTCTTCAGATTGATACCTAAACACTCCGAAATGTTTGTATTGGAGCTTCTGGCATTGGAGCAGTACAGCATGCCATTTCCAAATTTCTGGCAGAGTGAATCATGTCAGGGTACTGTTTTTCTCACAAACAATGCCCAACTGATCCTACTATACTGTGTAGACAAGAAAATCAAAAACAAGCAATGCATATGCACAAAATTAAAAATATCAATGGAGACAATTTACCCATCGCAACCATTTCTCTATATTTGGCTCTTCCAAATATATGGAGTAAAACTAGTAATAAAATATCTATATAAAATATACAATTGAGAAAAATATCCTCCCTTTGATATCATGAGTTATGTAAACAACATTAAAGTAAATTATAAATAATTTCTATATGTAAGTAATTTGCAATTTATTTCTATAGTAAAACCATCAGTAAGTCTTTTACATATCAACATTATTAGTCAAAACATATGGAATAAAATAATTTTTAATGATTTACTACAAATGCTTTAGTATTTGCTATATACCATTAAAATATACTAGATGACCCATAAACTTATCGGGTTCTTTTTAAAAGCAGTTCATGATGAGGTAACAATATTACTAATTTTATTATTAATTACACATATTTTAATTTGTATTTGCAATACAAGTTATTGTAATAATTATTATCACTCACATTATAAAATATTACTGAGATCAAACGCAATAAGAAATTAATAATAATTATATTTTTTTATTATATATACTTGTTTCTTCTTCACATTTATTTCAAAATATGTCAAGTCATGTTAATTTTTTCTTTTTAACATACAACATGTGTTAGCATGTGCGATACCCTGTCTTCATCAGCCGCCGACCAGGGGTGATATCATGGTTTCGGTGGCTATGGCAGGACCGCCACCCCTGGTGCCACCAGCAGCGTTTGCCACCAGGATGGGTATGAAGATAAGCTAATTGATCGTTCCTTTAAGTAAATTCTGTACATAATGAAAGTTACCTGAATGCGTTTGCCGTTATTGACGTGCTCATAAAAATCGTTATAGACGACCACACAAATATTTCACTTGCGCATGTTAGGTCGTGATATTGCATGCATTTTATTTGCTTGTTTTGATCTCGACCAAATCCAACTTGACACGTGTTGAACAGTTTTTTTGAATACGATGTGAAACGCTTTTCAACCAACGGCCAGTGATGCCTATTTTTGAAAGGAAGGAAATGACCGAATGTCCCAGAAACCCATGACACCCAATCTCAATAGGCATCACGTTACACATCCAACCATTTTCCATACATTTGGCACGCAGTGACTCATACCGGTTTTTCTTTAGTTCGTGCGCCTCCACTCTGTTATACAATTTTCCAGCCATAGAGATTACGTTTTATAATAATACACTCACATAGCATCTTCACCAATCAAGTACTTGTCAAACATCCAAGATATTTGTTTATAAAAATAGTTCTATTTAGTGTATTGGGGTAGAAAGATTATTATTTAAATATATATTATTAAATATAAGAGACAATGAATGTCTATGATGTCTGATCATGAGTCAGTCTAATGTTCGAATGTTTACTTTAATTTCTGGTAAAAATAAAAACAAAAATTGTCTAACATTTGGACAATTGAACTTACAATCTGCATCTCCTATTCTGTGACCATTAACATCAAATAGCAATCTTCTATGTCAAAATAACAACATATCATCTTTGATGGTGGATATCTTTGTTTCATGTCCGTACAACCAACTTGAAGATGGCTCATGTGAGCTGAAAGCTTAGATCAAGGAACAGTATAATAAAAAAATATCCAAATGTTGGACAATTTTTGTCTTTATTTTCACCAGAAATTAAAGCAAACATTCCAACAGCTCATGATCAGACATAATTAATTGTCTATTATATTTAATAATATATGTTTAAAAAATAGTTCCCATTAAAAACAGCCCTAGCTCAAGAACCCCTTGTCTAATTTTAATTTTAGCACTGTACTCAGTAGGGGTTCAAGATACAATATGCTTCTAAATAGGCTGGGGTATTATGTATCATTTAAGCTGTATCTCAGGAACACACACACATACATGCATACATACATACATAGAGTTTTAGTATTATATAAACACTGAATGATAATTCTGATATATTTGTTTAATAAATCTTACACATGAGATCAAAGGTTACATAAATAGCTTATGTTTAAATAATTTGTAATGTGCTTGAAAACAGTAAAAATAAAAAGACACAAAAAGACAGTAAAACTGTTAGTGATGTATTTACATATTAATATAATTTACCAAGCATTTCTAAATTATAAAATAACTTGCAATGTAATTCAATAAAATGTCTTCAGTATCTGCTGTGTTATTAAGTATCTAATCATTAAATGTTAACTTGGTAAATTTAATGATAAAAAAACTTGTTGGGTTATGAAATATCAAATATAAGACTTATAGAACAAAAATCACAATGAATTAATAAATATGAAACATAGGTTCAGTTTACACAAGAGTTAAAAAAAAAAGTAGTAATGCGTTTAGTGTAAAGTTTAGTCAAAAAAGCTGTTTTAGACAAGAGTAAAAATGCAACTATGGTCTGGATAAAACACTAGATTTAAAGGGAAGACACAAGTCTGCTTTAGAGTAAATTTAAAAAGGTAGACAAATGTCTGGTTTACACTAGATTGAAAAAGGTAGATAAATATCTGGTTTACATTAAATTTAACAAGGTAGACATGGATCTGTCTTACTGTGGAGTCAAAAAATGTAGACATAGGTCCAGTTTACACTAGAGTTAAAAAGGTAGACATTGGTTTGGTTCAGACTCAAGTTAAAAAAAAGTAGACATGGTTCGAGATTGGATTAGAGTAAAAAAGTTAGACATGGGTCAGGTTTATACTAGATTTTAAAAAAGGTAGCAAGATGGTTGACATAGGTCTGGTTTATACTATAGTCTAAAAAGTTGACATTGTTTTCTTTTACACAAAAGTAAAAAAAAGCAGACATAAACCTGGATTGGATTAAAGTAAAAAAAAAGTTAGACACTGATCTAATTTATACAAGGGTATGCAAAAGTAGGTATACAATAATGAAAAGAAAAATATGCCCTTAAAACATATTGTACTGATTACACAGACATAGGAATAATAACATAACTTACTGTATACCTACTTTTGCAGACCACCCCCCACCCCGGTATTTGATTCTGCAAGTATTCAAGTATCAACCCCAAAATTGGCCTTCTTTAAGTGTGTCTTACTCCCCCTTCATGGGATGTAGCTGCCATAAGCCCTACCAATGGGGAAAATAATATAATGAGTTAACAATAGATTTCATGCATGTGTTTAATAAACTTGACCCATAATATCCTAGGTCATATAAATGGCTAGTTTTATAAGGAGAATATTTTCATTGTCAACTCATTTTAGGGCAAGGTTCATGAAAAGAGCTGATAGTTTTAAGTGAAATGACAGTCATTATATTGCTTTAATTTATAAGGAGAATATTTGTATGATCAACTCATTTCAGGGCAAAGTTCATGAGAAGAGTTGCTTAGTGTTAAATAAAACAACAGTCTTTATATTGCTTGTAGACAAAGAAGTCAATCGTTTTATCAAGGGCTAAAGTAAATTTGTCTAAAAACCTTTGTTTTCATCAAGTGTTGCATCTCCAGAATCTGTTGCCGTATGTTGTTTTTCTGATTCAGCATCAGATGTCTGTCCTTTTTCGCTGTCTTCCGTACTGTCCACTTCAGACAGAGCTTGATCACGGCTCCATTCTGAAGTGGTTGTGCCGTCACGACCACTGTTGCCATCTGTGGTTGTGCTGCTGGACAGAGTTGATGCTACTGTAGTTGACTGCTTCTGAACTTCGTTCTGTTGCTCAAATTCTTGGATCTGCTGTGCCATCTTCTTGTCCACAGTTGAGGATTGAGAGGATGGGGTCTCACCCGGAGCAGCAGAAGGACAAGATTCTATAGGTAACTCGGCAGCTTCATCAGGCTGTAATGTGCACAACAATAAAGTGACAAATAAAAATCAAACATTATATTTTTGATCTTTACTTTTTTTTTTAAAAAAGCTTTTCACCCCAAGCCAGGCAGGAGTGCCACTAGCACACAAGGGATTACAGAGAGTGGGAGCAATATTAAAAGGGTGTGAAAGAGGAAAGGATGAAGAAAAGGACAAAAAATAGATCATGGTATCTGGAGATGTCAACTGACATTGCATTTGAATAGTTTGAGAAAATGGTAAATATACTTCAGCAAAGGTAATTATTTCAGAAAATGGTAAATATGCTTCAACAAAGGTAATTATTTCAGAAAATGGTAAATATGCTTCAGAAAAGGTAATTATTACAGAAAACAGTAATTATGCTTCAGAAAAGGTAATTATTTCAGAAAACAATAAATATGCTTCAGAATATAATAAATGTGTTTCTCAATTTTACAGTGTCATACTTACAGTTTTATCTAAATTTGTTGTATCTGAAGTGGGTGGGGAGGTGGTTGAATGGGCAGATTCACTCTCCTTTCCATTACCATTCTGCCGAACCTGTTGTCGACCAAAGCGGCTTGGCTTGGAGGCCTTTTTCTGGTCTTTTTTGATTGATGAACTATGGGTTGGCGTAGAGTCAGTATCAGACATGGGGCCTTCAGTGATACTTTCTTTTACACTATACTTATTTTTTGTATACCGCACAATACTTTCTTTGATTGGGGAGGCCATGTGGATCCTTAGACTGCTACTTTTATCCCCTCCACTGGTATTTTTCATATTTGTAGGGCTTTGGGGTGGGGTCTCAGTTTCCTGAATGTTTTCCAGATCACTTGCAGAGACCTTACTTGCATCTGAAATAAATATACAAAAAATATACCATGTAAGAATCAATGTGTGGCTATGTCAGTAGGTGATGATGTTTGATGATGTGTATGTTTATTGTACTGTATATCTACATGAATTACAACTGAGTTTATTGTATAAATCTCACAGACGCACACACACACACACAACTATTGGCCAAAATCTGGGGTTACTCTCTGGATTTCAAAGAATCATCTAAAAGTTAAAGGTTGTATGCCTTTTTCAAAACTAATTTACTAGCTCACTTCAGACCAGAGGGATTTTCTATTTCTGAAGAATTTTATCATGAATTCAATAATAATAATAATCCTATTATAATTCTGCTTTCACTCCCTCCATTAGTTTGCACGACCATTACACCCTGCCAATACCTCAAAAATAGTGGATTATTCTGCTTTGATCATGTGGAAAGAGGGGAAAAGACACTACTTGCTTTTAGTGATAAAATGAAAGAAAGGAAGATAGAAGTGTAGAGAGAGAATCTGATTAAGCTAATAAGAACAAATACTACACTTTGATCTTAGCAAAAAAGGCCAAGAAGTGAATGTAACTGCAATAAAAGCACCATTTTTCAGAAGCATAGTATCAAATGACAGGAACAAAGTAAGGCAATCGCCAAAAATCCAGTTACCATAAATAACATCGTTTGTTAATTATTTTTAAAAGAAATGTTTTTAAGATGGGGATTTGGCTAATAATAATAATAACAATAATAACAAAATCAACCCATTATTGCATAAAGTTTCCTTAAATCGTACCTCATTTTGCTTGATCTATCTTGCTAGCTATTAGTAATCTTAGGGCTGGTGGATTTTAAATTTTAGGTAACCCCCTCTCTAAAATAAAAATAGATACCATACACTAATGGGTTAAATATTTTCAGCATCCTAGCTTAGTAAGAGGTGATTAAACAAAAGAAGGCATGAAACTTACCATTTATTAAATTCAGAGAGCGGTCCCAAACTTTTGGACTATAGTGCATGTTCTGATGAAATTATGTATAGCTGATATAGTAGAAATGACTTTATTCACAAATATATGTGCCATATATTTCTATTTGTAAAGCAATCGTTAAATCTTAAAAATTACCCCCCAAAAATGGGGAGGGGGTGTATAATGATGATGCGTCTCTTCGAAGCTCAAAAAATTAGCATTAAGTTAAATTCCATTGATTTTTTTGAGCTTTGATAGTATGTCATCTTTCCTTAAGTTTGGGATGCCATAATTTATGGTAACAGTGGTTATCAAGTCAAATGCATGTGAAGCCTACTTAACCAATGAAAATCATATAACACAAAAACAAAAATACCAGAGATTCTTTTTTCTCCATATCTCATTCCCTGATGAAACTTTAATAAAAGTGAAACATGTTAGATTGATAAACATTTCTTATTTGTTCTTTATCCTATCATTTATTCATATATATATATATATAGTACAGGTAATAGATTTGTTGGTATATAATCCAGGTGGATCCTAGTAATAACAAATATTAAAAATGATCCACAGAGAGCTTTATGTATTTATTATAACAGAGCATATATATATTTTACAGCAAAACCAAAGTTACCTCAACGTGAGTCTAGTCTATTTCAAGCTGATCAGACCAGCTTGAAATAGACTATACTCATGTTGAGGTAATTTTGGTTTTTGCTGTAATATATATATATATATATATATATATATATATATAAATGGTAATAAGTAAAGACAATCCTTAAAAACCCATTTTGGTTATAATTTCATTTAAATTTAATATATTTAAATATTCATCTCTTAAGACAGAGGGTATTTTTAGAAATGAAATCAATTTGTTCAGACAAAAGAAAGAGGGAGAGGAAAAAAAAAGGAAAAGGAAAAATTTTTATAAGAAAGAAAAAGAAAAATTTCAATATAAAATTTTAAAAAATTAGGAAAGAGAGAGAGAGAGTGTGTGTGTATGTAGTGTATTTGGGCAGCAAACCCTCTTTTATACAAGTTTCATTAAAGACAACTGACAAGGCACTGCAATTAAGCTTTTTACTATATGCTCATAAAAAAAATCATTGTTGATAATAGCTAATAGATTAGTCCAAAGCACTCAAATTCACAGATCATTTGAAGAGTTTTTACACACTTTATATCCAGAAAAGAAAATACTTGTGTGAATACAAGAAAAATTTCATAAAAAGTTTAATCACAGTGTCTTGTCAATTGTCTTCAATGAAACTTTTATACACACACATACATGTATATACACTCCTATTATTCCAAACAACACCAGAAAATACATCTTAAAAAGAAATTAACACCAACTAAAACAACCCCCCTTGAAAATGGCTGAAGTTTTGGTATATGATCATCACTCATCCTTACCACATGGCCAGCCCAATGCAGTTGTGATTGCATCACAAATATACATACTTGAACTGCTGCTTGGTACATTTCTCTAATTTACCCTGCCAGGTCCTGGTACCTCTGTATTTTTACCTGCACAATGTTCTTATCCCAAAGTATAGCAATGTCTATCATGATTCATTCATTGTTGCTCATGCACAAGTGTAATTTCAGTATAACTGCTCTCCAAGCGCTTGTCAAGATGAGCTTCACTTGCTCATTCTTTGCTACTCACAGTGGTGAATGTTAATTTATTATTATTGTTATTATTATTATTATCATTTTTATTTTCTTTGATTTCTGGCATATACACATTTCTTTCTGGGTCCCGCCCAGGAACCTAAGGTTAGAAATGGCGTCATGACATTTTCCACTGACAAAAAAAAAAAAAAAAAAAAAAATTAAATTACATAGATAAAGCCCTTCATAAGGTGTGGGCTGTACTTGTCAAAACAATTTTTTGTATCTCCTTGAGGTATGGACTTCCAGGAATCCCTTCAATTAGTCTACTGCAATCTTTTCCAACCAGTCCTAGGGCTCCAACTACAACAGGGATTGTTGATGTTCCCATATGCCACATTTGCGAGATTTCTATTTCAAGGTCCTTGTACTTTGACAACTTTTTGAATATCTTCAAAGATACATTGCAGTCAGCAGGGACTGCCATATCAATAAGGAGGCATCGTTTTTGTTTGTGGTCTTAAATAACAATATCTGGCCGGTTGGCCTTGATTGTTCTGTCAGTGTGTATTCTGTAGTCCCATAGAATTGTAACAGGTCCTATCTCCGTAACCGGGTCTGGGTGGTGTTCATACCATTTTCTTTCAGTTTCCTTCCCATAGAAGTTGCAGATTTTCCAGTGCAGATATTGGCCCACTCTGTCATGTCAGGTTTTATATTCAGTGGGTGCCAACACCGTACAACCTGATACAAGATGATCAATCGTTTCTGGATATTTATCACAGAATCTGCATTTTGGGCTGACACAATATTTTAGTATATGTGCTTGATAATTCCTAGTTAGCAAGCATTGGTCCTCTTGCAGCAAGGATAAAACCTTCAGTTTCCACTTTCAACCCTGCACTATGTAGCCACTGATGGGTACGGGTTTTGTCTACGTCAGCTTGTTTGGTACGGGCAGAGTATTGGCCATGAAGCGGTTTATCTTGCCATCGCTTCTGTAGCTGGTCGGTTGCATTCGTCTTTGCTGTCTTTTTTAGGTATTTTGCAGTTTCAGCCGGTGTATTGTGCTGTAGTTGCATCTCTACGCCCATTTGAAACTCCTTATTATTATTATTGTTATTGTTATTATTGTTATTATTTTTATTATTATTATTGTTATTTGAGATCATCTGTGGCTCTTAGATGTTTCAGTCGGGTGGTGATGGTTAAATCTAAGCTCCTACCTTCAGCTTAGAGAGTGTAGGGTTCAGCATACCCAGATTAAAAGGAGAATTTAATACGGGATACCCTGCCCACAAAATACAACGTAAATTTCAAGAAGAAACAACATGATAAGGAACGTCTGTGGAAAATAGAACATTGTATATTTATTATCTTGTGAATAGGGTAAAAAAGATTAATGTTTTAGTTAAAGCAAAATGTGATTTTGACAAAAATGTCTGTGTTCGCTGTCTTTTAACAGAGTAGCAGAGTAATGTCTGTTTCTTTTGTTTTTGTATATGTGTAAAGGAAAAAGGGGCGATCAATTTAAGTTGAAAAAGAGAGTGGGGATGAGAAATAAAAGATAAGAGGAAAATGTAGTTAGGAGTCAGTTGTAAATTTGTTGTTGTTGTTCTTTCCTACTCCACTTTCGGCTCTTAGTGTCAGGTTGAGTCAGTGATGGAATTTACTGTCAGTCTTCTGTGATCTCTGCGCCCTTCTGACTGGTGACTGACTTGAAACTCTCTATTTATTGTTGACTTTTTTTTTCGCACTGGCTTGTTATCTTTTTTTTGGTTTAGCGAATCGCCTCCTTTCATTGGTCAGAAAATTAATTTCACACCTTATTGCGAAATCTGTTTTTAGTCGTTTTGATCCGATTTTGCGGGTGTGCAAATCTACTTTGTGTTTTTTAGTCATTTGTTGGAATGATATAGGATTTGTATCCTATAAGAGACAACATTTTCCTCAACATGCAAACTTTTCCAAACCATGCTGCCACCTGCACCCTGCAAACAATGTCAGGCATCTCCAAGACATCTTGCAAGGCAGAAAGGTTCCTGAAAATACTCCCAAGTGCACCATCCAGAAAAGGAACAATTTGAACTGCTGCTCAGTACATTCCTGTGATTTGCTCTGCCAGGTCTTTATACCTCTGTATTTTCAAGTTCACTAGTTTTACGAGGTCCTTACCACAAGTTGGTGGTGGTATTATTATTCTTATTGGTAGTAGTAGTTATTACAATAATAGTAATTATATATATTACACGTGATATGTATTGAATCAAAACATCCTACTGCATCTTACTAACTTTTACACACTTTAGTGTTGAGAATGTTTGCCACATATATTTAAATATTATCTGTCACTTCATTACGTGTGACATGTACCAATAAGAAATATCCAAACACAGCATGACATTAATCTGCATCTCTCTGCTTTTTATCATATCTATCTTGATCTAACGAAGATTAATAAAGCGGAACATGTTAGATTAAGATCTGTTTCCTACTTGTTCTTCATCCTATCATATATATAACTTGGACCAATTTTAAATGTGAATTAAGTTTAAGTGTTTAATGATTTGTTTCTTTTTCTTTCACATTTAACAACTTAAGTCTTTGGCATTTTCAACCATGGAAAGTTTATCAAACAACGTGTTAAAGTTATCGAAGCCTATTACAAAAATGGATGTTCAAACAGAAATGCATTTTGCACACTTTGTGATTTTTTTTTGGTCAACTTAATCGACCAGCCGAGAATGCAATTGGAAACGATGTAACATTGTTGTGGAGAGGTTCAATTCCTGTGCACTTGACGAATAGTGGTGTCTGGATTTTCGGCCACATTCTCATGCACTGCAGCAATATTTTCAACTGAACGGCATAAACGACCACGCAATGATGTTTTCACATCTGCCACTGACTCAGTTTGTTTGAATTTACAAACAATTTTTCCAATTGGACTCTTGAAACTTTAACATGTTGTTTGATTGTTAATCTTTCTATGGTTGAAATTGCCAAAGACTGAAGTTGTTAAATGTGAAAGAAAAGGAAAAAAAAATTATTAGATGCTTAAAGTTAATTCACATTTAAAATTGATCCATGTTATTGGAACACCCGTTATATTATATATATATATATATATATATATATATATAAATATAAATTATATTATATATATAAATGTGAAAATGAGCTAAATAAAGAGATATGAGCAACCATATATGCAAGTTTCATTAAAAACGACTGTGGTTAAGTCTTTTATATAATTTTTCATGTGTTATAATTTTTTTCTTTTCAGGACATAAATTATATAAAAATTGTCCAAATGTTTTATATATCCAAGTGCTTTCAGCTATACTTTTAACCATTATCAAATTTTGTTTTACTTTTTAACTGAATATATGGATAATTTTATGCATGCATCAAGAGTTATAGGAATGTTTTATTTACAAAAACACAAACAATCCACCCCATTGAACTAAATAAAAGGTTCGGTTTGAAATTCCAACCTATATTGCCTGAAGAAGGCAGGAGTGTAAAGAACCGAAATGTTGTGAATATGACAATAAAGATAAAGACCAGTCTGAACAATGTAAATAGTATAAAGACCAATAATATTTATTGTATATTAGTAGGCGTTTTGACCTAATGGAAACATGATGAGGAAGATTTTAAAAATTGAAATTTTTAGACACACCTGTGACCTTTCTCAATGAGACAAGAAATGAAAAATGAAATGGGACTTTCTTTACTGGGGGAATTTTTCCTTTCTGTGTGTGTTATATTACTGAAGAGATCTGATAGGTTTGGGTTAGTTGTTTGCCATGATTAAGATTGTAGAGGGTTTGTAGAAGGCTTTCTGTGGAAACTTTTTATTATCTTTACTATATATATATATATATATATATATATATATATATATATATATATATATGTGTGTGTGTGTGTGTGTTAAAAGAGAACTAATTCAACTAACCTCTACTCCTGTGGTACTTAGGCATTGGTGGTGTAAAACCATCGTCCCCTTTCTTACATCGGTGATGTTGAGCATCAATTGTATTGATGACAATCCGCACCAGAATTTGGACGATTTCAGTTGTAGCACTGTTTGCATTTATTTGATACTAAAAGTAAAAGAGAAAAATCATCAACATGAGGTTTAATTCATAAATTTACAATAAACAAATTCTGGAAAATAATGCAAGCCTCATGAGTTGGAGAATGATGTTAATCAACTGTAAAATTTAAAAGCAAAAAATTTATCATATTTCTAACCATATAACTCACACATATTATATTTTCTTGTGCATGATATGAGTAACTTTTTAAATGAAAATAAAAATCAAAAATGAAAAAAGTATGGTGGAGTAATGGATAGCGACTCAGATTGAGGAATTGGAGAGGTGAGTTCGAATTCCAGTCAAATCCATTACATTCACTTACGTGCTAATACCCTTGGGAAAGGTATGAATCCTCTTCTCAAAGCTATGGGTAAATAGCAGGCAGACCAAGTTCTATAGCCTTGGATGGCAACTGGTCTACCGTAGGAAGAAATGGCAACTTACTGCGGGGAAAAAGGAGTAATGGATACTGGCTCAGATTGAGGAATCAAAAATCTGAGTTCAAATTCCAGTCGAATCCATTACATTCACTTACGTGCTAATAGCCTTGGGAAAGGTATGAATCCTCTTCTTCACCCCCCAACTATGGGTAAATAGCAGGACAGACCTGGTTCTGTAGCCTTGGATGGCAACTGGTCTACTGTAGAAAGAAATGGCAACCTACTGCGGGAAAAAGGAGTAATGGATAGTGGCTCAGATTGAGGAATTGGAGAGCTGAGCTTGAATTCCAGTCAAATCCATTACATTCACTTATGTGCTAATACCCTTGGGAAAGGTATGAATCCCCTTCTCACCCCACCATCCCAGCTATGGGTAAATAGCAGGCAGACCAAGTTCTATAGCCTTGGATGGCAACTGGTCTATTGTAGGAAGAAATGGCAACTTACTGTGGGGAAAAAGGAGTAATGGATAGTGGCTCAGATTAAGGAATCAAAGAGCCGAGTTCGAATTCCAGTTGAATCCATTACATTCACTTACGTGCTAATATCCTTAGGAAAGGTATGAATCCTCTTCTCCACCCCCCCAGCTATGGGTAAATAGCAGGACAGACTGGGTTCTATAGCCTTGGATGGCAAATGGTCTACTGTAGAAAAAAATGGCAACCTACTGCTGGAAAAAAATCTGCTTCATCAGTCATGTATTGTAAGATACATAATCACCTAAGTGTATATTATGCATGGCACATAACTGACATGTTCTTAGAAATTTTTACTCAGCTTAAAAAAAACCTCTTATTTGAAACAACAAGATTACACTCCACACAATCTATATAACAAATGTGAATGTCCCTGTGCCACACTTTTTCAACTTTACTCCTAGAGGCCATAGCCCAACATATCACACCATTGTGGAACAGACCGACTCTGTGAGCAAATTAAAAACATTCTGAGCTCGATCCAGACCCGCAATCCTGAAATTTTAGATTCTTAACTTTTCATTACTGTGACTGTGTTTGGCGATTTTTTTTACATGATTTTTTAAAAATATTTTAACATCATTTTGATATGTAATCATAATTTAATCATTTATTTCATAGGTTACAATAAACTGGGAATGACTGCTAGAAAAACTCCAAGATAACCTCCCCTGCTCAAATTTATACACAAATCCCACAGATGCATGCTGGGATTTCTTCCTGATCAATAAAATTGGATAATTCCCAGTTTCATGCCTGCATTTGGGATCAGAATGCTATAACCATTTGACTGTATCCTTTTTGCATGTGAAGAACACAATTCTTTCTTTGTGAACTCTTGGCTTTGTTACTTTGCTTCTGACTTGAATATGTCTTGTACCATTTTCTGCCTAAGATAAGTAAAAATGGCATAAAACAAAGCTCATTCTAAAACTGAACTGTTTCATTATTAAAGTCATTTCTTGAGTACAATGGGTTAATCTAAATCTTATCATCATATTTTAAAAATCTTCATCTAATTGAAATTCGGTGAAATATGTCTTTCAACTTTCTTAAAAAATCATCCATTCAATGAAATATATAGAACACAACTTTCAACTTGGACAACTAAAAGAACATATATTTCGTGTAAAACATTTAAAAAAAAAAAGTAATATGTAATATTTTCTTACCTTATACAAAATGACAAGAAGACCCATAAGCCAAGAATGTCTAACATGTGATTCCAGAAACCATAAGGTATAATTTGGTGGTTGGTAATCACTAGCATACCGTTGTGGAGAGGGAGCATATTTGAATACCATCAATGTGATTGGAAGAATCATGTTACCCAATGGGAAATTTCGATCCAACACCTGAAACAATTTAAAAAGGTAATAGAAAATACTGGCAGATTAATAATATATCAGGAAAGATAATGCTTTTAAATCTGAGATATATAAATAATGTAGGTAAGTGTCATGATATCCAACAATATATAGTGATTTTCCAAGCATAGCTTAGATGTGGCACAAGGCCAAAAGTAGGGGGCAAACTCACTACTAAGTCGTAATTGTTCTGGCAAGACAAGCTTGCTAACCATTACACTGCCTTGAGGAGCCCAATCCAACAATATATATACTATTGTAACAAACAGACTCAATAAGGAAACTTGAGGTAGAGCAACATTAAATATGGTTTATTGGCAAATGAAGAAATTATAAAAGAACTTATCTTTCTTTTTCTTTTAAATAGAAAGTTTCTATTCATTCTTATAGTATTTGGCCAGTACTAAAATTACTAATATGAGTGCAGGCATTGCATGGGATGAACTATTTTACATCACCCTCCTTTAGTTCTGAGGGTACCAGACAGGAGTATGTATAATTCATCCACTGCAAGTTATCCTGATAGTTTCTGTTTTTGGAATGCAAGGCTGATTTGTTGAGGCCAAGATTTCATTGGAAGTGGGAGGTCGTTCTGGAGAACTTAGGCTGACAGGAGCTTTGGAAATATATAGTGGATCTGTAATCATGTTTGAACGTGGAAAGCAAGCAGGATTTGTTGACTTGCTGAGGCCCATCCAAAGATTGAATGCGCCACAGGACAGGTGAAGGTGTTTTAGATTTCACCTCGATTTCGCTTCTGAGGTCTGCACCAAAAAGGAGGTAACATGCAACCTGGCGCAATACTTTTGCAGGTAGGTTGCATGCTTCATGAACACTGATATATTTCTTGTAGTCATTCTCTCTGATTAAACAGAAATTTTTGGTAAGTTCCTCCAAGTCTACACACAATCAATATTTTTAATTAATTTCATACCTTAAGAATTCCCTATAATAAACAAGCACTCCAAATTAATATTCTTTTATTAAATTCTCAAAAAATTTTGACTTCCCAGAAATTCCTAGTTTGGTTTAATTTGGTTTATTTTGTTTTATAGCATATCAACCTCAATGGGTTATTTAATACCAACAAGATTTTTAGGATAGATTTATAGGAATAAAATATATATTCTTTGTAAGAAATCAGTTTGTAGATCAGGTTTCATTGATGTATTTTTGTAAAAAGTTTTTTTTTTTGAGAGAGTCAAATCTGTTTCTGGTAATATATATATATATATATATATATATATATTTCAAAAAATGTATTGCTGGTATTTTTACTTTCATAGCATTTTGACCCCAATTTCAGAGTTCACTATTTGCCCATATCTGGGATCCTAATAGGTGCCAACACCCCAGGTCTGGATGGACCTGGGAACAACAGTAATTAAGAGATTGTTCCATGCTCCTCAAAACCTCCTGATCTGAAAATTCCTGTGTTTTCACTCTTTTGGCACAAATGTAGCCCTGGCACCTGTCTTTTATTTGGCATCCTTTAAAGAGAAATCCCCCCACTTCAATTCAACAGAAAAGCCAACTGATAAATGTTAATTACTTGAAGATAACCAAAAAAAATGCTCTTGTCAAAACACATCAATAAAATTAAAAGAAATATTAAATACATATTAAAATAAGAAAAAAAGCAACGTTTACTTACATAAGGTACTCCACTAAGAAAGGCGTTAAAAACAGCTGATGACCTGATTATAAGAAAAGAAACAAGCATTATAGACTGAATATGGTAATTACATGTAAATATGAGGAGTTGTTGAAAAGTTCTCAGCCTAACTCACTTCCCAAAAGAAGAAATATTTTCATGGCAACTGCTCTGACAAGCTTTTTTTCCCTGGTGCCCTGACTACATGAATTTAAGTGTGCTACTAGATTGGCATCTAGGTCCCACCCTTTTACTGCTGAAATAGTTAAACTCCATCAACTCCAACAGTTTCTTTTCTCATACCTCCATCCCATAGAACTCCCTTCCGTTTACTTGCTTCTCTGATAAAGATACTCTTCAAAAATTTTAATGCAATGTTAATTGCCATCTTCTGTCTTCTTGAATCCTGTTCATCTTTCGTCCTTTCTTCAATCCTCTCTATACTCAGTCTTTTCTCTCACTTTCACTCCCTGTAATCCCCTGCGTACTAGTAGCTTCCCATCCTGTGGGGAGGGGGTGAAAGTCTTTTTGGAAGAGCAGCCTGTTCAAGCCAAAAACTTTTCAGCATGCCCTCATAGAGTGTAATTGTTTTACTCTGGGGAAAACTTCTATTTCAGCATGTTTCAATGATGCCTTCATCAGAAGAATAACCTTTTTCAACAAAATCTATATTAAGACAAAACAAGATTCATTAATATGAATGTTGTTTTGCTACATGACTCTTTTGTTATCAAAATTCGACAGAACAGTTGAACTACCCGCACATATGATTTGATTATAATTGTGCAGAATCAACCATATTTTGGAAAGAACCAAATACAGAGAATTTGTGTACATAGTGTGCTACAAGACTCTTCTTCAGTTTTGAATTCAGAGTCATCTTTCTCCTACAATCATTGCCAACCAAGGCTAAAGAGCCCAATCTACCCTACTACTTAACCTATAGCTAGGGGTAGATGAAGAGATGGATCCATAGCTTTTCCAATTGTATTTGCACATAAGTGAATGTAACAAATTTGACTGTAATTTGAAGAGCAAGTCAGAAAGATTGCGTGGTCTGATGAAGCACAATTTAAACTCATGGTAGAGTAGTGGATAGTGGCTCGAATTGAGAAATTGGAGAGCCAAGTTCGAATTCTAGTCAAATCTATTACATTCACTTACATGCTAATACTGTTGGGGAAGGTATGAATCTTCTTCTTCTCCCCCCCTCCCCAAGCTATGGGTAAGTAGCAGAACAGATCAGGTTCTATAGCCTTGGATGGCAACTGGTCTACTGAAGAAAGAACTGGCAACCTACTGCAGGAAAAAACCTGCCTCGTCAGTCATGTATCGAAAGATATATGATCGCCTAAGCATGTATCGTGCATGACCCATAACTGACTGAACATACATAATTGTGTTTATTGGGCACAGGAAAATCTGTATGTGAACAAAACAGTCAATTTACCGGGTGTCAATGTCTGGTATGGAGTGTCATCTAGAGGTTTAATTGGACTTTTTCTTTGAATGTACTGTTACTAGTCAAGCATACCTAGACTTGCTACACAGATCTATATTACCTGCCATACATGAATTTTATGAAAATGATTATTTTTTTGCAGTAAGACAGACCACCACCACCACCACACTACCAACAAAATGTGTGAACTTATCTGATTGAGAATTTGAAAGGACACTGGCTAAGATGAAGAGGTCTTTTGACATCTGCAGACTTTTACCTATAGAGGACCCTAAATGATGTGTATTACAGAAAATCGACTACATTAGCAGTCCTTGAATTGAAAATGCATGTGCATCAATCCCACTGGACACTTTGGCCAACAGCAGTAGTTTGGTATACTAATAAATGTCTTGGAACTAAAGTCCACCATTTTGAGCATCTCTTGTGATTGTAGAGTCCAAAGGTAACTTGTATTAATCTTGTGATATCTGAATAAATTTAGTATTACCATATCTATACAAGTTTTTTCCTTTCCAGAAGTGTGTATACCATTAATAGCAGACTATAAATATGTGTGTGTGATGATGCAACTCTGCACATCATTGCACAAGCTGTGAGACATCCAAGGTCATCTGTATGCAAATACACTGGCACTTGCTACGTTCCATAGATTCATTTCAATTATGGCTGTGATAGACATCAACAAAGAAATAATGACAAATGTTTTTCTAGACACTCACTGGGTTGGGAAGTAGAAAAAAAACATGATTTCTCACTTAATTGGCAATGTCTTCCTTCTGCCTTGAGAAAGCAAACTTCTGACCACGGAAATCTGACCCCTCACTGTCTGGCCATTTCACTTACTACTTATTATATGAATACTGGCTGGTGGACCCACCACCTCTTTCCATCCACTCATGTTCCACCAACTGGAATGGGGGACTACCTAGACAGGTTTTAAGTGGTCAGTCTTTCAAAGGACCTTACTTTTATGGCTATCTAAAAACACTAACAAAACTTTGTTTGACAATTCAAAGGTGAAGACAGGATTCATGAAAAATCCTGGTCATTAAATTTACTCAGAGATGGGTTGGAGACAAGATTCCTGAAGATCCCTGGTCATTAAATTGACTTAAAAGAAAAAAGAATCTACTTATTCATTTCCTAAGTATGTATGAAAAATCATATTGCAAAACACACACACACTTATATACAACTGCAAAAAAGGCTAAAGTTTACTGAAACTATTTACCTTTAACAAAAGCAACCATACATCAATAAAAATAACTATAATCTAAGAACCTATATTCCTATTAAAATAATACACATCACGACATATTGCTGTTTTATGTGGCTGACATGACTTACAGTGTTCTATTGCACTAGACGTACCTTTCAAACAAAAAATAACAACACTTTAAAAGAAATTTGCTGCTTAAAATATACTTGACTAGCAGCATGGTCCGGCGTTGCCCGTGCTTGATTCAAAAATCATACGACTCATATAGCAATTGCTATCACTTGACTTAAAATATTTTTGCCCTACCTTGCCTTTAAAGGCGTGCCCTTTGCTTTACTGAGGTTGCTACATGCCTTACTTCTTGCCTATCTCACACTGCAAATTTTTTCTAAGGTCTATACTAAACATTAAATCTGTTATGAAAAAGCACTAAACAAAATGAACACAAAACAATCAGCTCATCAGAACAGCTGCCATGAAAATATTTGTAGAAAAGACAGAGGGAAGCCATATCACATCGGTGAGAAAGTGACTGAAGTTGAGATGCCTTATCGGGATCAATTACATTACAGACTGTTCTCTAGAAAAAAATGATCAATAAATTTAATCGACACAAAATGTCTGTTCTAACAAGACATGTTTACAAGAACAATTACTGTCAAAATATACTAAATATTACTGTTTATTTCACTCCAGATATCACTCACAATCAACCAGTGCATGTGTGACTTTGGTGCATTGTTTGAATGTGGACCTTATATTCTCATGTGAGACTCTCATCTTCTCCTCCTTGGGTGGGTGTTTATATATCTGTCATTGTTTTTTCTCACATGTGTATATTTTAGGCACAGCTGGGTTGACCATGCATTTACATGTTGAGGTTAGCTTCTAATATCCTGTGAAGTGCAGAATTGCACTTGGTGGCTAAGAGGTTATCTCTCAGGTCAAATCTGCACATGGCTCCTCTGAAGGACAAAGTGCATAGTCTATTCTGGCATCATCTGTGGTGAACCCAGTACATACTACATTATTATAATCCACTTCTATATTCATCTTAATTAATAAAAATATTAATTTATACATATTTTCTTTTGGTACTGGATAATAAGATAATGATAATTAATTTTTATACAAAAAGAAATGAGGGATAATCATAAGTTTACCTTAACTTGTATGGAGGTACATTGAAGGTTTGCTCTGTTTGGTTGTAGCCAAGTAATACATTAAGATGACGAAGAACTATGCTCTGAAAAAGAAGAGAACAGACAATAATGTTAAGTGTTTTAAACTAGGAAATAAATTCAATTAAGAGAAAAAAATGATTCAACTTCAAAAAGAGTTCTGATTTGTAAATGATTTCTGTTATACTCATATAGACACAAGTTAGCAATAACATAAAGATATAATAGCTCTATTCTATCAGTAAGGCTCGCATTAATTCCTGACCACTGACAATCCCTTTCTTCCTCATTTGCAATGCATTCCTATAGTAAAATCATTAGCAATGTATTTCCATTATACATATAATAGCCCTATTCTATCAGTAATGCTCATTAATTCCTGACCACTGACAATCCCTTTCTTCCTCATTTGCAATGCATTCCTATAGTAAAATCATTAGCAATGTATTTCCATTATACATATAATAGCCTATTCTATCAGTAATGCTCGCATTCATTCCTGACCACTGACAATCCTTTCTTCCTCATTTGCAATGCACTCTATAGTAAAATCATTAGCAATGTATTTCCATTATACATATAATAGCCCTATTCTATCAGTAATGCTCGCATTCATTCCTGACCACTGACAATCCCTTTCTTCCTCATTTGCAATGCACTCCTATAGTAAAATCATTAGCAATGTATTTCCATTATACATATAATAGCCCTATTCTATCAGTAATGCTCGCATTCATTCCTGACCACTGACAATCCCTTTTCTTCTCATTTGCAATGCATTCCTGACCACTGATCTCCTATAGTAAAATCATTAGCAATGTATTTCCATTATACATATAATAGCCCTATTCTATCAGTAATGCTCGCATTCATTCCTGACCACTGACAATCCCTTTCTTCCTCATTTGCAATGCATTCCTATAGTAAAATCATTAGCAATGTATTTTATACATATAATACATATTCTATCAGTAATGCCCCTATTCTATCAGTAAATGCATTCATTCCTGACCACTGACAAATCCCTTTCTTCCACTCATTTGCAATGCAATGCTCCTATAGTAAAATCATTAGCAATGTATTTCCATTATATATAATAGCCCTATTCTATCAGTAATGCTCGCATTCATTCCTGACCACTGACAATCCCTTTCTTCCTCATTTGCAATGCACTCCTATAGTAAAATCATTAGCAATGTATTTCCATTATACATATAATAGCCCTATTCTATCAGTAATGCTTGCATTCATTCCTGACCACTGACAATCCCTTTCTTCCTTATTTGCAATGCATTCCAATAGTAAAATCATTAGCAATGTATTTCCATTATACATATAATAGCCCTATTCTATCAGTAATGCTTGCATTCATTCCTGACCACTGACAATCCCTTTCTTCCTTATTTGCAATGCATTCCTATAGTAAAATCATTAGCAATGTATTTCCATTATACATATAATAGCCCATATTCTATCAGTAATGCTTGCATTCATTCCTGACCACTGACAATCCCTTTCTTCCTCATTTGCAATGCATTCCTATAGTAAAATCATTAGCAATGTATTTCCATTATACATATAATAGCCCTATTCTATCAGTAATGCTCATTCATTCCTGACCACTGACAATCCCTTTCTTCCTCATTTGTAATGCATTCCTATAGTAAAATCATTAGCAATGTATTTCCATTATACATATAATAGCCCTATTCTATCAGTAATGCTTGCATTCATTCCTGACCACTGACAATCCTTTCTTCCTCATTTGCAATGCATTCCTATAGTAAAATCATTAGCAATGTATTTCCATTATACATATAATAGCCCTATTCTATCAGTAATGCTTGCATTCATTCCTGACCACTGACAATCCTTTCTTCCTCATTTGCAATGCATTCCTATAGTAAAATCATTAGCAATGTATTTCCATTATACATATAATAGCCCTATTCTATCAGTAATGCTTGCATTCATTCCTGACCACTGACAATCCCTTTCTTCCTCATTTGCAATTTCCTATAGTAAAATCATTAAATGTATTTCCATTATACATATAATAGCCCTATTCTATCAGTAATGCTCGCATTCATTCCTGACCACTGACAATCCCTTTCTTCCTCATTTAGCAATGCATTCCTATAGTAAAATCATTAGCAATGCATTTCCATTATACATATAATAGCTATTCTATCAGTAATGCTTGCATTCATTCCTGACCACTGACAATCCCTTTCTTCCTCATTTGCAATGCATTCCTATAGTAAAATCATTAGCAATGTATTTCCATTATACATATATATATAGCCCTATTCTATCAGTAATGCTCGCATTCATTCCTGACCACTGACAATCCCTTTCTTCCTCATTTGCAATGCATTCCTATAGTAAAATCATTAGCAATGTATTTTTCCATTATACATATAATAGCCCTATTCTATCAGTAATGCTTCGCATTCATTCCTGACCACTGACAATCCCTTTCTTCCTCATTTGCAATGCATTCCTATAGTAAAATCATTAGCAATGTATTTCCATTATACATATAATAGCCCTATTCTATCAGTAATGCTTTGCATTCATTCCCACTGACCACTGACAATCCCTTTCTTCCATTTGCAATGCATTCCTATAGTAAAAATCATTATTTGCAATGTTCCTATTTCCATTATACATATAATAGCCCTATTCTATCAGTAATGCTTTGCATTCATTCCTGACCACTGACAATCCCTTTCTTCCTCATTTGCAATGCATTCCTATAGTAAAATCATTAGCAATGTATTTCCATTATACATATAATAGCCCTATTCTATCAGTAATGCTTGCATTCATTCCTGACCACTGACAATCCCTTTCTTCCTCATTTGCAATGCATTCCTATAGTAAAATCATTAGCAATGTATTTCCATTATACATATAATAGCCCTATTCTATCAGTAATGCTTGCATTCATTCCTGACCACTGACAATCCCTTTCTTCCTCATTTGCAATGCATTCCTATAGTAAAATCATTAGCAATGTATTTCCATTATACATATAATAGCCCTATTCTATCAGTAATGCTTTGCATTCATTCCTGACCACTGACAATCCCTTTCTTCCTCATTTGCAATGCATTCCTATAGTAAAATCATTAGCAATGTATTTCCATTATACATATAATAGCCCTATTCTATCAGTAATGCTTGCATTCATTCCTGACCACTGACAATCCCTTTCTTCCTCATTTGCAATGCATTCCTATAGTAAAATCATTAGCAATGTATTTCCATTATACATATAATAGCCCTATTCTATCAGTAATGCTTTGCATTCATTCCTGACCACTGACAATCCCTTTCTTCCTCATTTGCAATGCATTCCTATAGTAAAATCATTAGCAATGTATTTCCATTATACATATAATAGCCCTATTCTATCAGTAATGCTTGCATTCATTCCTGACCACTGACAATCCCTTTTCTTCCTCATTTGCAATGCATTCCTATAGTAAAATCATTAGCAATGTATTTCCATTATACATATAATAGCCCTATTCTATCAGTAATGCTTGCATTCATTCCTGACCACTGACAATCCCTTTCTTCCTCATTTGCAATGCATTCCTATAGTAAAATCATTAGCAATGTATTTCCATTATACATATAATAGCCCTATTCTATCAGTAATGCTTGCATTCATTCCTGACCACTGACAATCCCTTTCTTCCTCATTTGCAATGCATTCCTATAGTAAAATCATTAGCAATGTATTTCCATTATACATATAATAGCCCTATTCTATCAGTAATGCTTGCATTCATTCCTGACCACTGACAATCCCTTTCTTCCTCATTTGCAATGCATTCCTATAGTAAAAATCATTAGCAATGTATTTCCATTATACATATAATAGCCCTATTCTATCAGTAATGCTTTCGCATTCATTCCTGACCACTGACAATCCCTTTCTTCCTCATTTGCAATGCATTCCTATAGTAAAATCATTAGCAATGTATTTCCATTATACATATAATAGCCCTATTCTATCAGTAATGCTTGCATTCATTCCTGACCACTGACAACCACTGAATGCAATTCCTATTCCTCATTTGTATTTCCATTATACATATAATAGCCCTAAATCATTAATGCTAGCATTCATTCCTGACCACTGATTTCCATTTTATAGCAATGCATTCCTATAGTAAAATATTAGCCCTATTTCCATTAGTAAATGCCCTATTCTATCATAATGCTTGACCACTGACAATCCCTTTCTTCCTTTTCATTTCCTATAGCAATGCATTTCCATTATAGTAAAATTCTATTAATGCAATTCCACCACTGACAATCCCTTTCTTCATTATATTCATAGTAAAAATAGCCCTTCCATTCTATTCTATCAGTAATGCTTGCATTCATTCCTGACCACTGACAATCCCTTTCTTCCTCATTTGCAATGCATTCCAATAGTAAAATCATTAGCAATGTATTTCCATTATACATATAATAGCCCTATTCTATCAGTAATGCTTGCATTCATTCCTGACCACTGACAATCCCTTTCTTCCTCATTTGCAATGCATTCCTATAGTAAAATCATTAGCAATGTATTTACATTATACATATAATAGCCCTATTCTATCAGTAATGCTTGCATTCATTCCTGACCACTGACAATCCTTTCTTCCTCATTTGCAATGCATTCCTATAGTAAAATCATTAGCAATGTATTTCCATTATACATATAATAGCCCTATTCTATCAGTAATGCTTGCATTAATTCCTGACCACTGACAATCCCTTTCTTCCTCATTTGCAATGCATTCCTATAGTAAAATCATTCGTAATGTATTTCCATTATACATATAATAGCCCTATTCTATCAGTAATGCTTGCATTCATTCCTGACCACTGACAATCCCTTTCTTCCTCATTTGCAATGCATTCCTATAGTAAAATCATTAGCAATGTATTTCCATTATACATATAATAGCCCTATTCTATCAGTAATGCTTGTTTTCATTCCTGACCAGTGACAATCCCTTTCTTCCTCATTTGCAATGCATTCCTATAGTAAAAT